TGTGGATTTTAACAGGAATGTCTCCTGGAGTTTAATGAAAGTTTCACTTATTTATTGTTTGGACTTAATAAAAACCCTGGACACTCACACATTTGTTCTCAGTTATTCCAGCTTTTCAGCAGGGTAGAGGTAACTTCTCATATAGTGCACCACAACGATCGACTGTCAGTTGTCCCTCTCTAACAAGTGTAGCACAGGTAACAGGAGGGTCAGAGATGTGTCAGTCATTGTCTGAATACATCCATCAAGCAAATAATTGAAATCAACTCTGTGTGTCGACCATAGTTGTTGTTGTTGTTGTTGTTGTTGTTGTTGTTAAAAACAATGCCATCTTGCTCTGTAACCCTTAAGTTCAACTATTACAACAAATAAATATTCAGAATTCAATCAGACATGCCTTTTCTGTCCTTTTTATCAGAGAATTGCATATTTTTAAAAGATTTGTAACCCAAATATTTCATAAAGAAAAAGATACAACATTCCCATTTCATCAGTCTTAAAACAGTCCACAGACCTACTTCCAACAGCTAGAAGACAAGCAGACTAATTTGTGATGTTTCCCCACAGCTCACTGCTACACATCCTGCCATAAGAAACTGTAAGACACTGAATTAGTAAAGTTTGAGTCACATCAAATAAGATGTAGGTTGAAATAATACCGTACTGTAACTTGTCAACTTGGAAAAGTACCTTTTTTTCCCACAGTACTGCCACGGGTGCTGCCAAAGGCCTCACCTCATTCTGAATGTTTTAACAGCACGTAGGAGGAAACACTGGAATGGTTGCCAGCATCCATCTGGCTGTGAAACGGCGAACACAATGAAATGCATACATCTCATCTCCAAACCAATAGAGTGTTCATTTATCTACATAAGCTATTCCTGAGTTTACCTGGAAAAAAATCAATGCACAGTAAGTTTCAGCCACCGTCAGTGTAAACAAGTGAATAAACTAGAATGCGAGACAGTATGTACCAGGAACACATTAAGTGTATCTACACGTGTGAGCAGAACACAGTCCAGCCACATTTCTCATGTTCTGCCTTTATCAGCTGTTAATTTGTTTTTATGTTTGTGTATTTTTGTAATTATGGTGACATATAGGTTATTTACTTACTCAGAAACCCCCACCACTCTGTTAATGTGTGTCCCAGAATGGAGTTGCATCTGTGTGGCCTTTTGGGTCACATTCATCACTCAGCGTTGGTCCGTCTGGCAACTGTGGGCTTGGGAACCAGTAGCATTACCCACAATGCACCTGCAGCTCAAGACTGGCAAAAGAAAGTGTGGGAAATCAGATGGAGTTTGGATTCTGATCACAGGCATAAAAATAGGCATAAACACTGAGCGGAGGAGAGGCTAAGACTGCAGCGATCAAACTGTGGAGGAATGTTAGGAGGTGTCTGTCTTTGATTTTGGTGATTTGTAGGTGAATAATTGCGGCTTCTGGGATCAAAAATGACTGCGTTTCAGTTTCATCTGTTAAATGTGATGTAGGGTCAAACAAAGATGCATTCCAGAGAGATTTTGAAGAGGAAAATATTGTTACTCATAAGAATGTTGATATTTTAGACCATGAAGCACGAGTGCAGACCTCCTACCTGTGGATGCAGTCCAGTGTTTGTACTCAGATTATCCTTTTTATGACCACATAACTAAAGACAGCCACAGCCTCGCCCACATCCTGGGATATAGAGTTATATAATCCCACCTGCTGCTGCCTCTGCTCCAGCTGAGGGAAACCCCATCCTCCCTTGATGGGGACTGGGACTGGAGCATCAGTATGGTTCCCAGAGACAGGAAGCAGCAGCTGTCCGTCTGACCTCTGGTTATCAGACTGGGAGTCTGAGCTGGAAGGGAAACCCCCCGGAAAGTGGGTGAGCCCTGCCTGTAAGGAGTGTTGGCAAACCATTCCTTGGAAGACCAGAAAGGTCTGTTTCTAAAAACAGTTCAGGTGCCCAAATTTGTCAGAGTTCACTTTCAGGGTTGAAATCCTGCTGGGAGATTATTACACAAGATCTGTAATCTGCACTAGATTAAAAACATTGTTCTGATTGATACGAGTGTACTAACTCTTCTTGAACTGGCTGAGGACAATGTTTTTGTCTTCTGTTTTTCTATGGCGACAGGAATTTTGCACAATACTCAGATAAAACATTGATTAATATCATGTAGAAGGTGACATAAACATGACATGAGCACCAACACAGCCTGCAAGGAGTGAGAGGCGTCATCCATCTTGGTTATCTCCTCCACGGAGGCTGTTGTCCAACACACACCAGTCCAATTATCCCGTAAATCATGCTGGCTGTGAAAACACATCTGAGCCCTCCTAATAAATGTAGGGGCGCCTCGGTGCTTTCACGCCCCGTAGAACGAGCAAACAAGAATCATGGCCGGTATCACTACACCTGGAAGTCATTTTAGGAAGTCAACAATCAGCATTAGTTGTAAGTAAAAGCATCTACAAAGCACAAGAAGCCAGGTATTGAGTTGTAGGGAGGCTGAATTTACAGCAGTTGTTTATAGCACTCATACCAGACATACACTGATAACAGATAAGGTATCTGTAGTAAACACACGAGTGGGAATAAACATGCCAAAATCAGGAATGAAGTAGGGGAACATCTGAGACATTCTGCTCGTTCTTGCAGCATCAGTGTTGATAACCTCAGATCTCCTGCATTTGTGCCAAGACTTTACAGGCAACACTCTGAGGGCCACAGTGCATAAACAATGCAGACCAGCCAAACAGCTTAAACCAAAAACCAGAAGTGGACCCAGAGCAGCTGAGTTTCAGCCGTTAGTACAGAGAGACAGGGAGCTTTTTGTAATGTGGCCTCATAGTGTTATTATTATAATCAGGCCAGGACAAAAGAACGAGGGCACTTAAAAGCACCATTGTGGCTTAACCTCACAATGAACATGAGTCTGCACACACACTTGATTTAAAAAGTCTGCACCCTTACCTCATTAAGAAAATACAACTTTGAGACAAAACAATGCAAACTTCTGCAACCTAATCTGTCAATCTGAGTTCAGAGGGAAAAAAAGATTTTCAAATTGTCTTTGAATGAATGGAAACCACTGGGAGCCTGCTAGTAAAAATACAGTGAAATTCGTATTTGTAGTTGCTGTTATATGTATGGTCCTTGATTGTACAGATTTCTGCAGTGGTAAGACCATACAGTAGGTGATTCACTTACTACAGCAGGGCATAGCAGACACAGTCACATTGATATAACAGCATGTACTAAAAAGCTCTCGGACTTTCTATCAATTTAATATAACATAAATATCCATAAATAGGCTACAAATGTACAGATTTCACCAGTTAAGACCAAGTGTGTCTGTGTATGTATTTAAATTCATAATTCATGTTTATGGCTAGTTCAGGCTGTTATATTCCTTATTGTTATTATCTATCTATACATTCATTATTGTCTATTTATATCTTATGTATACGGTTGATTCGTGTGTGTGTGTGTGTGTGTGTGTGTGTGTGTGTGTGAGAAAGAGAGACAGGGTGTGGTACTATTTTACTGTTTGAAATGAATTAGAAGTTTTCCTATGATCATGCGGCTGGCTGTAGGCCTAGTATTGGGGGCTTTGGACGGCCTCTCCATTCCAGCAGGAGAGGAAACAGCGCGCCAATCAAAATCAGCCGCTTACGTCGCTGCCGTCTACTGTTTCACTCCTTCTTACTGACAATCCGACGAGGGAAGGTTAACCTCGTCTTTGACTATGCAAAGTTTCACCAGAAATCTCGCACCTTCTTATTGGATCTTCTGCTGCAGCCGGGCAGCTGCACAGGTTAATTAATATATTGAAAACATGTTCTTTTTGCTAATAATGTCCCTTAATAACGAGCTAACGGTTTGTTTCTGGTTCTGCACGCGGTGTCTTTATTAAGGAATGTTTAAAACTGATTTTAGTTACACTTTATAGTACGTTAAGCTTAACTAATGCCATACACATGTGTATTAATGTGTGAATTAATGCATATGAATTGTTAATACTGACAGGTCACTATGATTTTTGGATTCGACTTTATAATATTCAGTTAAGGGATGTTAATTCATGCATACATTTATATGCGACCAAATTTGCGAAATTCCAGTAACATAAAAGTGTACTGCTGACCATGCATTTGCTCAGCCCCCCATAAAAAAGTAGCTTCATAATAAACCCAATTGTGTTTTTGACACATTTAAGACATAATGGACCAATTAGAGGAGAATGATCAGACATGTTTAATTTTTTTCAACACAAAAAAACCTCCACCCATTATGTTGTAAATGTGTCACAAAAGCCACGATCTGATGATCTATTAAGTGTGAACTAATCACAAGATGTCATAGTGACTTAATCATTTATTAATATTGATTAAAAGGAATTTATGATAGATCCTGCATTACTTCATGCATTAAATCCTCACTAATCATATATTAGCTAAGCATTACTTAAATTATGTGTACCCTCATTTTAAAGTGTTACCCATTTTATTTGATGAAATATATTTTGAAATTCAATTCTTGATGTGATATTTTGCCTGCTAAGTGATGCAGCATTAAGCTTTTCCTTTAGGAAAAGGCTGTCTTTTCTCTTTTCATGAAACACTTCAGTTAACAGGTCACACTTGTTCACTGTGAGAGGACACATCTGCTCCACACTCCAGCCTTTTAACACATTATCAGTATTTTGACTGGCTGTCCCCGCCATGAAGATACCATCTGCATTTAAAGGGTTTGGGAATTGCCATGTTTACAGTCATGTGTACAGATATTGACTCAGCCCAGCCAGCCTCAGATGCAGCTGCTGCATGTTACTGATTTATGTTCCAGCAGGGAGACGACTGCACAGTGGATATGAACTGCATTTTAAAGTATGTGGGGAGATAATAAATGGGACTTGCATTAAAAAAACGATTTTAATGCCTAGTGCAGTTCAGAAAGCTACTCCCAGGAGTACTGAATGATGCCTTTTCTTATTATCCAGACTACATTTCATCCATCCATTTAGTTCTGTCTTGTTTTACAGATGCTTAAAGCAACACAGCAGAAGGTCATGAAAAGAAATCATAAACCTTGAACATAGAATTAGTTAAGAATGGAATCAGGTTTTATTGTGACAGTTCAAATGCAACTCGTTAGACAGGAAAAAGTTCAAATTAATCCATGGTTTGTAATATAACATCAATGGACTCAGCTTTTAGAGAGTGCAGCTCACAAGATCTTGTAGCCTGAGCTCTTTACACAAAAAAAAGATTTGGCCTCCAGAATTCGGACAAGTGCGTCTAGATTTTGAGGTATGGTGAATGTTTCATTAATAATAGGGAATATTTATTGTCTATTGGTTATTCTGGTTTCTTGCAATGTCAAGAGCTGGACCAGAATATAGTCTATGACATTTAAAAATCCTATTTAAAGAAATAAGAGGAAGGGTGGGGATAAATCAATGGGAGAAAGAATGCCAAGAATAACTTCTATTGCATGTCATGTTTTATTTTTGTTCAGTATGATAATAACCATTGTCTAGATTTATGTAACTTGTGAAATTAGAGGAGAAAACAGTAAAATGAGAGTGAAACACGAAAAGGCCGTTTTTCCATTTTAGCAAAGCAACATTTTTGTACAGTATCGTGCCTATGATCAAGCCAGTTCATCATCACACTGTGTTTGTTTAATGCTAATTACAGCTGTTGTAATGCATCTGGTTCTATTGTTGGATGAGGCAGCGCAGACTCTTTGGGTTTGTGTTGTGTTTGGCACAAGCACAAACTCACTCACAGCAAACATGAAAATCGCACAATAAAACCTATTGTTGTCCTGTGAAGCATTCACTGCATGTAACGTTCAGAAGACAACGTTCCCATCAGTGTTCACCGAGCAAGAGGACAGCAGTAGAGAGGTGAGGAGTCAGAAAGAGATTGTTGATATTCAAAAGAAGACGAGAGCCAAGATCAACTGTGGACTTGTGTTTCTTCTCAATTTGGCGTTCAGAAATCGGGAACGTTGCCATTGTGAGTTTGAAGGTTGGGTTGTGAGAACTTAAGAAAATTCATGCTGTGTCACAATACTTCTCAGTACTGCCTTTGTTTTAACTTTGTTTATTGTGTGTAAAACTCCCATGAGTAAAGCTCGCAGCTATTGTTTGCTGTTATTCCTCGCATACTTTGAAGGTTTTTGCTTCTTGTGATAATAAACCTTCTAGTATTACAATAAATTGAGAAATCAAGTATGTGTTGTTGGCTGGCTCATTTTACAGCTTTTTTTTTTGCTGATTTGCAAACACTGGCACAGTGGTACCCTCCTGAAACCATGCTGCATCATTGTTTTCACTGGATCATTTTCACTGGACTAGTGCACTACCTTTTCTCTGCCACAAGAGGGCGGTCTGCAACTACTCACTGAACCCACTACTGTTGAAACTACCTATGTCATGCTCTATGACATGCTGCTCTGTATCAGTTTGTCTGCATGTTCTGTATCATTACAACCATGTTTGGCAATGATGTTAATACTTTTATCAAATGAAACTGAAGGGTTGATCTCTGTATTTTTGTTATGTATTTTTCAGATTTCACACCCTCCAGAAGAGGGTCAGCCAAAAGGTAAGGACTGTGCTCTTGATCATATCCCACTGAATAGGCATTTCCTTGCAAATGATTTAAAGACTAAACAGTCAACTGGCCTTGTAGTAATGGAGTTCCAGGAGGTGTTTGCAAAGAGCCTGTGTCGGCCCATGGAGCAGCTGGTGGATGTGGAGCAGGAGTACCCTGGAGTAGTGGAGCACATCTACCTGCCTGCTTGTGTCCCACTCTGGCGATGCTCTGGATGCTGTGGGGATGAGAACCTGGAGTGCCAGCCTACCCTTGAACGCAACATCACTGTGGAGGTATGACCACAAATACCTAAATGGAGGTGTTAAAATGAGCTTTCTGTTTATATCAAATGTTTGGTAACTATTTCAGTTTTCCCTTTCTTTTATTTCTCAGGTGAAAAGGATCCAGTCGCCGATGTATTGGGACACTGTGGAACTCACATTTGTGGAGCATCAGAGCTGTGAATGCAGGTAACTTACTAATTCTTTCTAATAACAATAACAATAATAATGCAAATGGAGACAGCTAACTGCCAGTTGTTTGTGTTTTTCCCCCCATTTCAGAATCCGTCAAAGACTCCTACATGAGGAAAGGTCAGTAGATGAACACTTTATCTCTCAGACATGAACACATCAATATCGTCATTGCACTTTGCTCTTCCTTGCCTCTTCCTCCACAGCAGAGGTGAGTCCATCAAGAACAGACCTCGGAGGAGGAAACACAAGAAGACAACAACCGGCTGTGGCAAGTAAGAGATGAATTGTCCCTCTGTGGCACGCACGCACACACACACACACACACACACACTGTTTCATAATGTTTGGACATTTACAGCTACATTCATCACTCCTTCCTCCGCACTGTCAGCCTGCCAAGGACAGATGAGATTAAAAAATATCACAATATATTGTCTGATGATTCGCTCTTTTCTTTGGCAGGCCTGTATCGACTGGCCACAGAGCATTTATAGCACAATAATCCAACTAAAGACTTCCCGTGTAAAAGATTAGTCTGAAAATAACCAGATTCACATAACGAGAATACCCAAAATTGAAAAGGAAAGAAAAGAAGGATCAGTAAAGATTGATAATGGGGCTCAATATGTAGAGCAGTAAACCTCTTCATCACCCTAATGTGTTCATTTTCTATGTACAGTCACGTCCAACACTGTATTTTATTCATATTAACTATTCAATATGCATCTGCAGTGCACAACACTGGAGATGAAGGTGCAACTGGAGTGTGAGTTCAACAACAGCATGGCTCATCTTTGGCCTTAAAACTGAAACAGCTGCCAAATCTGCCTTCTGCACAAGTAAAATGCTTTTATTGACGTAGAGTCAAATTTAAAGCCCAAGTATATCTGTTGCAGAGCAATATCCGACCATCATGTGCAGTGAATGTAGTATTTTGTTTGTCTGTGGGCTTCACTCTTTTCACATATAGGTCAAAAGGACAGCGTGTGCCACAGATAATCTCTATGTGCCCCTCTCTACGTCCTCTTTTGTTTGACAAGTGAAATTGTTGTGGTAGCCAATTTTAAATGAGTGCAGAATGAAGCTAGCCCGGCACTACTTGACTAAATCGCACTCACTCACTTTATGGAGGTGCAACACTAAAGCGCTGGGTAGATTCATAGTCCATCAGTGTTTGCCGTGGGAGACAAAATCCACAATCCTCTTTTTGGGCAAATTTGCATTCTAAAGTTTATCTGAAGCTAATATGAGGCTGAGATGTGCAAACGTAGTATGAGCAGTCTGAGGCAGTTAAATCAATGGGGTATCTTGGGTTGTAGTCTTTTCAGTACAAAGAGGAAAGTCTTTGTGTCACTATCTCTCCACCTCAGCTCAGCAAAGAAAGAATTTAGTTCTGAAAAGACAGTAAGGTATCCTTTTTATTTGTCTAACTCAAACTGCTGAAAGCTTAGTTACTAGTTTCAGCTGAATGTGAGAGTGCATAATGAGGACCATGGATTTTGTTCCTCATTCACTGCATTGGAATCACATTATGGAGGGATTTCTTTGTTAACAACTGCAGTGACAATTAATTAGTCTTTTGACATACATATGGGCATGTGAGTATTGTTTTAAGTGAACTTATCCTTGAAGCATTCAATAAAGGTCCTCATTATCAGTATTGGAAGTGTCACTATTGGCAGGTTATTGAAGCTCATTAACTTGTTGCTCTTGGAGAACAAGGAACAATAGGTTTTCGCCATCTCTGGGGGCATTTTATCCAGCAGCCTTTAAAGAGTTGATGAAATCTATCCTCTGAATGAAACGCCCGACATTGTACTGGAGGTCATTGGGGGGTTAAGGCTATGTTAGGTGGTGGTCTGTAGGTTTCTCCTTACGTATTTTATTATATAGAAACCTGTGTGGCCATGTTGTTGTGGCTGTTGTCTGAACAAAAGCAATGCTGCACCATGATTTGTTTTGGCTTCTATTCTTTTGTAAACCATAGCTTAGGGCCCCCAACCCCATCTTTAGTGGTCAAGGGACCACACAGTTTTTAATTTCTTCCAGCAGATTCAAATTGTATGACACCAGCACTGAACATAAACTGAACTGGAGAAAACCTTCCTACATAACCCCAGAGGGGATATACATTCCCCTTGATGGTTTAATTCTTGTGACAACCTCAAAGTGAATGTTTAGGATTGTACTCTGGTTGTTCAGAGAGACATTTGCCTTTTCACTCTGCAATGAGAAATGTCACATCACACTTCAGACTCTGGTTTAAGGGACCTATGACCCGTAGGCCAGTTCTGTAATCCATCCATGTAAGTGTCAAAATGATCATTTAGATGGGGAATTGTAGTGTTGAGACTGCATTTTAGCACATTAGTGGGTCACAACCTTCACTTACAATTTGGAAATAGTGGAGAGCTTACAAATTCAAAAGCTTATCTGTTAGTGAAAAGCAATTCAACTCACTCACAATGTTGTTAATATTCACCACAAACTCAACCTCATAAACATAAAAAAGAGGTTGTAGTCAGTAGACTTTTCAGTCTCAAATAACACATCTCTATTTAGAAACAGGAATATTATAAAAACCAAGATATACACAGTATATGTTACAGTGTTAGTTACAAAGATGGACATAGATGTATTTAAATTTCAATCAATTTGAATGTTTTAATTGTTTGTTTCTGTTATTTCAGGTGCCAGTTCCCTCAAAACAAGATAAATCGTCACTGATTCACTTGCCTGTCCAAAAGTTTAATTTGGAGCAGTGACTCTGAAGTGGCAAACAACAGCACATGTGTGAATTCATCATATCTGACTATTCATCTTCTCTCCCTGTATCTTTCTTCGTCTGATGCATCAAACAACAGATTTTCCATCTTGTCCATGACATTCTTTTCTTTTTTGATTGATCATCAAAGCAAACAATCATCAACAGACTCCTTTGGCTCTAACTTCTGTTTAAAGGACCAAAATAAACTTCCATTATAACTCATATAATATAGTTGTATTTGTGTGAGCTTTTAAAAAAAAGACTTAGGATACAACAGATTCGATAGGTATAGAGATAATGTGTGGAATGCTGCAAACTTATCAGTGTCCAGGGGAAAGGATTACCGTAAGACCCCCATCCATCCTAAAGTGTTCACTGTCAGATCAATGACAACATCAACAGAGAGGCCAAACACCTTCTTCATGACTTTATGTTCATTGTGACTTTTGCAGATTGACTTCTGTTATGATTGCTATGAACCTGATTCTGAAAAAAGACGTAAAGATGTGAATTTCTGTAAAGTGTTACTTACTCTGCCATGGGACATAATAAATTCATGAGATAAAATCCTTCCCAAAATAAAAGGAATCTCTGTGTTATCTACATTTGCATTGGTAGACCGTTGGCATGGGTAACATGTTAGGGACACTGTAAGCACTTGCAAGGCTCTGCAGTAAGCACATTGTTAACAGAGCCCATGGGGTTACTGTTATCCCCTGATTTGTATTGCATTCACAGGCTTTCAGACACATGTGAGATGATAGAGTTGTGGTTTCATTTAACAGAAAAGCTTTCAAATATAGTATTTAACATAACAGGATCGGGCTCACCAGACAACTGTGTGAAGTGAAGCAGTCATTTAATAGTGTAACACACAGAACCCTATATCTATATTTTTTGTTTTACAGTTTTTAAATGAGTGCAGCGACATAACTAACTGTACACTGTGAAAGCATTATTCTGCAATTAGATGAAATACACACTGCTACACTGCTCTTACTGTGTTATCAGAATCATAATCAGAAATACTTTATTGATCCCTGGGGGGAAATTTGTTTGTTACAGTTGTTCTACTCACACAACATTAAAGAATAGAAATAGTACTTGTATTACAATATCTAACACAATATCCAATCCAATCCAACTTTATTTGTTAAGCACTTTAAAAACAACCAAAGTTGACTAAAGTGCTGTAACAGGAGAAATAAATAAGAGACATCATAAATGTAAACAAGTTGGGTGATGGTGATGATGAAGACCACTGTTGAGGAATATAAACAGTGATGGCGATATAGAATAGAAATGTCAGTTAAGGTATATATAAGTAACAAGTAAAAAATAAAAATAATAAGAGCCTATATACAAAGAAAATGTAATGTAAATGTATTACACCACAGTTAAATGACTTAATTATGTGTGTTTTAGGATTGTGGTGTTGCAGAAGTTATAGATAATTACAAATAATGACTGACTATATATAAATATAAGCAGTTTGTGTGTATGTAGGCACATTCCCATCAGAAATCCTGCCACCATCGTCCTCCTTTGTTGTTAAAGTAATGTACAGAACATGGCTGCACGTGAGGACGTTTTGTTCTGACAGTGTTGTGTTTACTTCTTCAAACATGGTAGCAGTGAAGAGTTGCTCTGCTTAGGTTAGCTGTGGGCCAACCGGACTATTATGTAACACACAGGGACCTCACACTTGAATCCTCACGTCACTGGGTTCCCCGAGAGTACATTAGAGATGTATGGCCTGTACTGTTACACCTCCCGACTGCACGGTGAACACAATGTCCTTAACTTGCCACACATTCAGCTGGAGTCACGTTTTTCAGCTGCTGATTGCGCCGGCCAATCAGAAGCCAGAACATCTACCAGGTGGGCGGACCTAGCAGCCTAAAGAATGTGACGTGTCCGATACTCCAGACATAGCCACGCCCTAAACTACCAAATATGGCAGAGCGTCTGAGACGAATATCCTGTTCCTTCATATTTCGGAACAATTGTTGGTGAGATGAGCGAAAGCCCACGGCTCGGTAAAAGCCTGCTTTCTGTTTAGACGTCCGCCGGGGACAATTAAACCGCAACGGTTAACGGCTGTTGCCACCGTGCTCCGCATGTGACCGAGCGGAGAGGGAGGGGCGGGCTGTCTCGTGTATTGTACCGTGGAACACAGAGTTCTAGTCACCGTAGCTGGGCAACAGCAGCAGCGACGACGACGGACACACCGAGAGAACGCAGACGATAGAACGCTTCGAGCTCGTAAACCGACAGCGTTCAACACCACAACAACAACAACAACAAAGTAAGCATAATGGGGTTTTTGTTTGTGTTTCTCAAATGTTTTACTTCACTTAACGCTCTGACGTTCGTGCCTGACGTTAGCCAACCAAAGGGCTAACTGTAAATGCTTTCTTTAAGTGTTTACGTTACATAGTTGTTGTTGTTTTTGTTTAGCTGTTATAGCTGTAATGTTAGTTAATTTAATTAATTAACGGCGCCTTTACGTGTCATAGCACATGTTGTACTTAAGACTAAGGTTTTACGTCAACATAGCCTCATGCTAACACAATTTGGTCATGTTTTCTTTATGTATTAGCTAGCGTTAGCCCAATGCTTCAATGTGTAATATAATAATATGTTCATTTGGCGACATTTTGTATTATGGCAGGTAAGAGATGAGTTGTTTTCACGCGTTTGCTGTAATCGTGGACAACTAGGGCAGGTTATTAGATATTCTGTCAGAACACTCATTCTCCTGTAGTTGGTATGAAAAGAGGCACCGTTGTTTGATTCCCACCCTTTGATGTCCTGATGTAAGTTAACATAAGTTTCTGTGAGAGCATGTCGGACTAATGCCATTGTCAGTACAGCAGGAGAGAAGATGAGCACCAAGAGGAAGGCAGAGAGTCACTCAAGGGCAGCAAACAGACCACGCACCATGAAGTCTGCAGGCTCCCGGGCTGATTCAGAGAGAGACTCCGGGTTCTCAGGTTTGACCTTGCTCTTACCACGATTTGAAGTGCTTGGATTATAAGGTATCGCTTAACTGAACCCCAGTTACTCTTCTTTCTGGTCTTTAGATGCAAGCTCGGAGCACATGGGCACAGTGGACAGGACAGACTCTGAGGATTCACCCCGCCCTGTTGTACAGACGGGACCACAGACTTCTGGCTCGGGCCCTCAGCCCTCCCAGCTGGCTGTGGTGGGAGGCTCCTACTCCAACCTCTCTCCCATGATCATCATGAACAACGTCCTCCTCAAGCAGGTACATTGCTGCTACGCCTGAACTCTGAAACACAAGCCTGACCTTATAGATTATATTACTTAATCTGTGTGGATAAAGGCAAACCTGGCTTCCTGATAGCAGTGGTCAGGTCACAATAGAGACCGTTTGGTCCAGTTTTATTGTGTTTAACTTGAATGTGTCTTCGCCGTCCAGTCACAGCTGCCTGGAATGTGTCACCAAAAAAGACTGACCATTGACAAAAGGTCAAGGCTGCTGGCTGACCAACAGCAGAGTCTTAAAGTGAAGTAGAAGGAGCTAAAAATAAAATTGTGATTTCATTAAATAATGAAAACTAAGCATGATGTTAACTTGATTTAGGACTCTGTAGAAGGTTATTTACATTTTAATGACAAAAATGTTGACCGTGTTTGTTGAGCAGAGCAGTGAGGCTGCATCTAACAATTATCTTCATTATTGATTAATTACTAAAAGAAACAGAAACATATCTAAATCTGAGAAGCAGAAATCTGAGAATTTGGACAATTTTATTCTTAAAAATGACTCAAAACTATTAATTGATTATCAAAATAGTTAGAGATTAATTCAGTTGACCAGTAATCAATTAATCAACTAATCGTTGCAGCTCTACAGTGTTGTTGAACTTTTATTCAGTTAAACACAGCGGTTTAGTCTGTGTTAAAGCATAATTTTCCCACCACAGTATGTCAGTACAATGATACTTACAGTGCTCTTCCTATTAAAATGTAATTAAATAGGATTGTTGTTGCCATAGTCTTTATTTTCTAGTGTTTTACATTGGTAGTAGCGTAGTTATACCCTATTCTCACTAACACAATGATGTGGGTCTAAGCTGCGTTTGAATGGATTGCACGTCAGCTCACGTCACCTGAGCCTCTGGGTTGAATGCGGGTAGCCAGGCACCTCTATGATGAATGGAAAATAATCCATAGTAGTCATTACAGTGCCTTGAGAGAGCATGCATGTGTGGGAAAGCAAGCTTGAGCAAGACACTGAGAAAGGTGTAAGCTAAACATTGTTAGGTAATAACGTAATGTATCATTCTGTGGTTTAACAGTGAAGTGTATAGACCTGCTGCAGACTGGAGTCTGTGCTCGTGGTGACAGCCATAGACAGACATGTGACAGCTGTCACTTGAATGGGTCCATCGCAGGTTGAACATGTGGTCAGCGCTGTTACTGACAGTTAGTCAACAGAAGAATGAAGTTCTTATAACTGCTGATAGTTATGTGTCAGGTACAAATATAATAAAGTATGAAATGTCTGGTTCACATGATTATTCTTTTTCTTTTTTTTTGGTTCATAAATGACAATTTTAGCAGGAATCTCCACTTTGTGTAAATTTGTGATGAGCGTTTTGTCCGTATTTAACATTTCATAGACTGAATGATTAATTGATACAGTATGTTCAGGTTTTTTGTTCTCATTTTGTATCTTAAGAATGTTGCAGTTCCCCACTTTTAAAATTATGTTTCATTGTGTCTCGTGGGGGAAAAAAGGATAAAAAAAAAAGTGTTAAGTAGAGAACTGCTTGTGATGAAAGCTCTCAATTTTGACTTTTGCAGCCTGGAGATAATCCTCCTGCTCTGAAGCCCTGGGGCTTTAGTCCAACAGTGGAGGTAGTCCAGCAGCCTCAGGTAGTCTTCCTCCAGCCTGTGGTCTCTCGTCAAGCTTCCTCTGCCTCCAAAGAGGCCTCTTCCAGACACAGACGCACTAAGAAGTATCTTCCAATCCTGAAATCTTACCCTAAGATTGCTCCACATCCTGGAGACAGCTCCAGTTCCTCAGGTAGAGGAACTGCTTCCTCATCCTCCTCATCCTCTTCTTCAGGATCAGAGAGAGGCAGCAGTTTGACATCAAACCACCGTCAGAGAGAGAGGCAGCAGAGAAGTCAATGTGGCGGTGCCAGTAACTCTGGCTCATCCACTCCCAGTCTTCCTGCTAGCCCCAGCATGTCTCCTCTGCTCCAGAGCCGACTTTCTCTCCACACAGCAGAAGCCAGTGTCAGCAGGAGCCCTGCCAGGGAGAGGCCTTCATCATCTGTCAGCCAGTCAGAGTTCACCACCTCCCTGTCCTTCACTCACACCACTGGCTTAAGGAACGAGACGCTCCCTGTTCCCCGGGGGGCCACCCAAGAGAGCAGCTCACCAGAAGAACATAACCACAGTGATAGTGACGCTGATACAAAGAGGAAGCGCTTCTGCAACACTTACAACATCCTGAGCAAATCCGGCCTGCTGGACATTGCACTCCGCACCAAGGAGCTCCACCGGCAGAACCGAAGAGTCCAGAACGACATAGACCAGCTAAAAGAACACACGGACCTCTTCCTGCAGGCTCTGCGTAGCGGTGACACCAGCATCTGTGTTAAGCTACAGGCCAGCTTTCAGGAGGAAGACAGAGAGAAAGAGAGAACTGCTCCGGCCAGCTTAAAGGCAGATTAGACCGAGACTAGTGCTAGACAGTAATCCTTTAGACTGAGATGGGGAAAGGAGGGCCAGAGTTGGGGCGGTTGGAGCATACAGAGACAGATGGACCGAAAGTAACATGCTCCACACAATACACACCCACCCCCAGACGCTCTCACACAGACAGTGTGCTGTGGCCTACATTTTGGCTGCCGGCTGCCTTAGGGCTCTGACACACCAACCCAACCTCTGCAGTTTAGTGCAGATGAAGACTTTTTGTTGCTTTGTGTCTTCTGCTAAGAAGTTTCACGTGAACTCATTGTTAGACTAAAGCTGGAGGCCAGTTGACCGTCACACCTGCACATAACATATGCTCTGTGTTAGAGGAAAAGTTTTAGTCAGTGGTCTGTGTTTGTAAACCAGGAGATATCAAAGAAAGACACTCTTTGTACACTCAATTATGAATTGAGAATTTGTTTCAATGGACATTGTACACTTTGCTTTGCTGCCCCTTGAATGTTGTCAACTTGTGGGAAAAGAAAAAATGGACTAAATGCACTAATTTGGTAATGTGCCAGTCAGAGAGCGTTCAAATGGCCACAGATGAGGTCTGATGTGCCATCAGGAAGACCTGCTGCAAAAACAATTGCCGATGGTCAGCCACACACTTACAGCGCTGCCCAGTCACCAGCTGTCTGCTCTGTGTGTCGGGGACCTAAGGTCAAACGGGGCCAGTACCAAAGCTCACTGTTCTGCCATATTGAGCCTGACTAAATCTTTCCACTGAAACTGCTACTCTGCTGCACAGAAATCTTTTGCTCTTGGCAATCAAGACCCAAAATACCTGAGAGATTTGGATCTAAAGGCATGAAGGGATGAACAAATACAAAAAAGTTTTTCTTACTAAAAGCACAATACAGGCTCTGAAAGTACTTTAATCTAAAACTGGAAAATATTGAGTATACGTACTCATTCTGAAAGCAGAATGTCACTACATGAATTTAACCAGGCTGACATTTCTCTTGTTTTTAATCATTCATGGCACTGACGTTAACAGACATCCAGCTAACAGTCAAAGTGTGTACGTAATCTAAATAGTTTTATGCAGCAGTTATGTCACATCCGTGATTATGACAGGCTTAAGGAAATGTTCTCATGTCACAGTGAATGCGTCCGGGGCCTCTTGCCAGTCAGGATCTTTAAATAGACAAACGTGCCTGAAGTGTCTTTTTAGTTCCTGCTGTATTTTAAAACTTGATGTTAAAGATTTGGCACAGCCTGTTGACGGTTTCAAGTTTAGCATTCCCATCATGTTGATGGCAGCTATAATACAGTACAGACTGGCTACAAGTCAAACTCTTAACAGCCATTTAGAGATGCTTCCCTGACAACATCCCAGGGTTGGTGAAGAGTGCTTCCTATTCTCTATTCATATTTATCAGTGACTTGTGTTCTATAATTTGTTTTTCTGTATTTTTTATACCCATTTATGTAATTTAATGTGGAAATATGATCTAACTTATGTGCAGTTTTTCTGTTTTAAGTTCCTTTTTATTTTTCGTCTGTATGAAATATTCATTGTGTCCACCTTTTTTTTGAGACTATCAAGTAAGATCTCTTGATAAAGACCAGTTGTTGCAACTTTGACCCTCAAATCCAGATTTTTGGTCAGATTATTAATTTTTTGGATGCTTATAAATTATGGCCTTATTGTCTAAACCCAGTGTATGTCACAGAACTTTGCATTTGCACTAAAACGATCAGAGAGTAGCTCTGAAGCAATTGCTGGGCAGAATTTAATGGCAGCTAAGGTAGTTTTTGTTTAGGTTAAAGTACATAAAGTGCATTGTGAGGCAACAGAAACACACTACCAGTGTAAACATACTGTTCCTTTAGAACAGCCTACAACATTTACATTGACAGATTGTTTTACTACTAGCAGTTTTGTCTGTATTAAAACCCATTTTTGCATATTTTGTCTTTACCTACACAATAATATTTAGTGTGATGATGATGATGTACTCGCTGTACTTATGTTGACCTTAAAATGGCTCATGAGGAACATCTCAATCATGGGGTCATTTACTACTTTAGCAGTCTTATCCCATGTGAACACGATTCAGTTGAGTTTAAAAAAGGGTTTGGGTCATGTATTCTGTGACAACCTTTATGAATGAATTGTGGGTGTTTTGGAAATAACATCACTTTTTGTTAAATATCTCAGCTTTATGGTAGGTTCACTTTCAGCTTTTATGTTGTTAACAGAACAGTAGTGTCAGTCAGTGGACATTTTGACTCATTTGATGTGTGTTTAGGGTTATTGTCACATTGCACCTGAGGCAGTCAGCTCGGAACATTTTAGTTTGTTTCTGTCTTCCAGCTATAATGAATAGTTCAAGCTAATGAGTGCAGCCAGACAGACTCACACGAGTTTCCTGCAGTATTCAGTAGATGATGTCACAGTGACATTTTAGAACTTTCTATCATCAAGTAAACATGCTGAATGGGCCATTTTTAATCCCACAATTCATTATAAAAGAAGCTAAATGTGTCTTCTGTGTTTGTGTGATGCAAGTTGCAGAAATATTTAAGACTCTTTACACTCGAACAATAGTGTAAACTTAATGACAAAGTTATAAAAGCCAGTTATCTTATTGCAAAATTATTTTCCATCCACTTGCGCTATTGTCGCTCTAATAGATCAGTAATTAGTTTTAATACCACATGTCCTTAATGAAGGCCTTATTAAGACACTCGAGGACAGCAGCAACACTGCGGACACTATTTTAGTCGTTGCCTTGGTCAAAAACAAATACCAATCTGTCTCAACTCTGTTTACAGAGTGGAGACTCTACCACTGCAAATATTCCTTCTTTATTTCTTTAACTAGCACATTTACCCAAACTTTAAATGTCTACAATGATTACAGAATTCATTTTAGGAGTTTGGTAGACCTGAATGTTGATATTGTTCTTAACGGGTCACTGTAGAGTCTGAAATGCTTAAAAATAGTTTAATAGCCTGCAGATAAAATTAGATCATGCTGTTCTGATACTGTTTCACATTCAGTGGAATACATAGTGGTACTGAAACATCAAATGGGTCAATGATGTTTTGGCTGATAATAGCAAAACAACACTGGTCACGTCCCTCTTTCACCATATTAGGTTTATTTATTACAGACCGCTTACCATCAGCTCACAGTAATCTGAAGTTTATTTTTGTTTACATGGATCCACACTGCTGTGGTTACACTTGTCAATGTTATTGACTGGACTGAATCAAACTATATGTCTCCGGTGCCGCTACTCTATGTGCTGTCGATGTGTCGATTGTCATTGCTGTCGTCTTAGGTGACCGCAATTTTCTGTTTCAACTTTCAAAAAAAAAAAAAGTTGATTGAAAAAGGGTCATGGCTGTTTTTTTGTACAGTAGGACACCTTTGATTTATAACACTGGATTTTGAGTTTTCCATCTAAATGTTGGCAGCTTTGTTTCCTCAGTGCATTTCAGTCTGCCGTCTTTCATTTTAAATATGCTGAAAATGTTTGTGAAAAGGATCGTGGTTGTTTTATCAAATAGTTTCAGTAGTACACCAGCAGCAGTGATGGACACAATGATGATTACCACAAATAATCCCTGTAGTAGAATTAGGCAGACTGAATGTAATGTGGCTCGCTGGCAATCTTTTTTCTATTCAAAAAAATGTAAATGCAATTGCTGAAATCTTTAATGGGACTTTACCAAAACATGAGTTTCATGTCTCACTGTTTTAAACATCTGGATGTGGAACTTGGATATCTTAGATAATGATACGTCAGCTATACCAATCAAAGATCAGTAGACTAAGATTTACAGAGGGGTTGATGTAACATGCTTTAGGGCTCTTTTTGTACATTTTCAATTAGAGACTCATTGCTTGTGTAATAAATGTGATTCCAAAAAAACTTTTCTTGTTGGGTATTAATGTTATCACTGTAAAAAATCAGGGGTATATCTGTCTAAATGAGTAGGACTGCTTCCTGAGACTATTACGTCTGTTCCAGATGAATACTAAATTATAACATTACTATGTTTGGTTATGATGTCATCGTCGCTCACTACCTGGCCTACAGATAGATGTTTTGTTTCACACACAAACACACACAAGGGATCAGGACTGCAGTAATGTATATATCACCCAGATAACATAATTTGGGGTAAGGGCCGTAATTGCATGCTGTAGACGGTGACCTACATGTTGGCAGAAAGCAGCTGATTAGGAAAGGGATTCTGGCATCGGACAGGTGTTGGGTCACCATGTGTGGGAACTGTTTCCACCTGGACTCATGGCTAGTAATTGCATCTGCAGTCTCAGGTGGCTCATATTGTGAGCACAGGAATCCAGGAACAGCCACTGCTTTCAGCTCAGCCACAAAGGGGGCAGGGTCTAAAACCATGTTGTGTTTTAGGAGAACACTATTGCCTCCTTGTTCAATGCTGTTAAATGTTCTTAGGTTGTTCTTGTCTTAAGATAATTTCTTACTTATGTTCAATTCACATAAGATACTGAGCATAAAACCTTGCTTACGCAGGTTCTGAGATGCCCAGTTTTAAAGTTAAAAACGTTTCAGTAAGTGGTTGCCTTCTGTCTGTGTATCTTTCATTAGTACAGAACAGAATGAAAAACTAAAATTTTTATGTAATACTGCAATGAACTGAGCTTCATAGTGGACGAGCTGCAGTTCAGTATTGCAGTAAATGGCACTTTCAGGTGTTAATTAAATGTAAATTTTCCTGTGCCCATGACTCCAATCATTGTTCCTAAAGCTAAAGCAAAGGTCACTGCAGGCGTGAGCGTTTATGCATCCCAAACTGCAGTGCCACCACATAGGAAGAAGGAAATTGGTTGTTTAAAAAAAGGTTCCTGCAAAAACGTGTACAGCGTGATGCTACACTGCAGTGTTCCAGCATTCACACCCACAGTCTTCAGAAAGTGCCGTCTCTCATTTTTGGAGCACACACCTCTGTCATCACACCAGCAAACTGAGAGAAAGCCAGTATTTAAAAATAGAAATCTGGGCTCTTATCGCATAAAAGGACAACTCAAAACAATACGAACAATGTGGATTTAGCAAACGCAAGAGTTATATTCCTCTGCAGTCATATTTTAGATGTTTTGTGGGATTTTTTTGTTTAAAACTCAGTCTCTATGCTTGTTGTAAATACACCAAAATCATAAATGTGACTTATTCAGAATGACTCAGATATATATCACAAAGTATAGATATAATTTGTTTTTGCTCTGTTTACATGCGTTGACACACAGGATTAATCTGGGGTTCTTTGTAAATAATTTGCAATAAATTCTTATTAGAATGTCTGTGGTGAAACACTTTATAGCTTTCATATTCAGGACATAATAGGAGAATAGTTTGGAGCTGTCAAAAAAGGTCATTCAAAACTACAGCAAAAAGCGAAGCGGTAATTTCCAGGTATTTAATCTATTTGTTTATTTATCCATTTACCAGAAAGCAATAATGCCTCTCTCACACATCAGGCCTCACGATGTAGTTTACAGGTTTGACCACTGGATGGCGTCGATGATTCAGGCTCCCTCTGTGCAAAAAAACGCGGAAGTACACTAACATTGTTCCACCAGAGACTCCGTAGAACAAACCTGCTACTCTGTTTTGGGACAATTATTATCCAGCTGCTCTCCCGCCGTAGCTCTGTCACACAACTATTACCAGGTACAGTTCATGTTACTGAAGGTGTAGCTAATGGCATTTAACCCATGAGCGCTGTACCGTCGGCCAGCTGTCCACATCTGTCTGTTAGCCCCGGGAGCTAGTTTGGTAACTGCTAACCCCGCTAGCTAAGTTAGCAACGCTGTCTGTCATCTGTCTCCTTTCTCCAATAACAGCTCAGAGCTTCGGACACATTTAGCTGCGCTGTTTGACGGGCGACGTATTTGGTGTTTGAACTCGTAGTTGACTAGCAACGCCCAGACGTAGAGCTGATGGCCTGACGTTTCTTCCCGTTTGTGTGACCGCAGATTGTGCGATGGTTTCCACTCAGAGATGACCTGCAGCCTACGCTTATGATCGACACACAATCCCATATTTAGCAGGTCAAATTTGAGGTAAGTGTTGTTTTCGTTGAAGCCCAATCACAGCACATCTGGGTGCATCTGGTGGATCAGTGTTGTGTTGTTATTCTACAGGTTCCACACAGGGTGACCCATGCTTTCTGATGAGCTTGACTCCAAACCAGAGGTGATCATCATTTTCATGCTCCATCTTTATTGCAGAGGCAGGAGGCTTTTTTTTTTTGTGTGTGTGTGACTTAAGTGATTTATTTGCCTGTCTCACCGCACTTGCTGTGTCTCTTTTTGTTTTCCTCCCCTCAGCTGCTGGTGCAGTTTGTACAGAACGCGTCCATCCCCTTGGTGCAGGGTCTGGAGGACTCGGAGTCCAAACACTCCTGCCTGCCTCTGCTGGCTCCGGCTGAGAGCTCGCTGTGCAGCCCGCTGGAGCTCACAGGTCAGCAGCTGCTCCCTGCTCTTGTCCTGTCCACCACAGGCCAAAATACTAGTATAACTGTGCTATTCGGAGATTTTGTTTTAAAGTCACATTGCTGTCTCATGTGGTGTGGGCCACATAGTTTACAGTTGTAGAAGAACTGGGACCCCACAAATGACACCAGGATAGCATGACAAATAAAAGAGCTGAGGTTTACAGGGTGCCTCAGAGTATGTTGTTCATGGTACTGGTATCACAGTCCAAGACAATCATATCAGCTGTATCACTTGTTATCTGTGAAACTGAAGAATAAACACAACCTGTACGTGGCAAATCATTCTCAAAAAAGCATTAAACAGTTGTGGATTGCATTTTGATTTACTATATATTTTTAAAACTACTTTCAATACATGTTTGCCATAATTAAAATGCAAAAAATCCACAAAGCTGAAGAGAGCAGAACAGTTTTGCATTTAAAAGGTCTGTAGTGGGAAAAGGTTAAATTTCTACCACGCAGTTTCTGAATCTCCAAGGTCCAGTGTGTAACATTTAGGAGGATCTATAGTCAGAAATGGAATATAATATTTATAAGTAATCTACCAACTTCACTGCTAGATGCCACTCAAGTCTACACACTGGACCTTTTAAAGCAGCTATAATCAATATTTGTAAAGACAGTGTATCAAATGATAATGTGAAAACAGTGTGAAAGGGGTCACTTGTAGCGATGAACCCACAGAGAATCATCACCCTAAATCCGCAGCTCCCCTCAGCTTAAAGGAGTTTTATAGTTTCATCTGATTGTTGAGCTGTCTGTCCCACATCTTTACTGTTTTGGTTGACGCTTGCTGCATTCATATCATCTAAAAACCCTCTGTACACTACCTGCTCAGCACCAAACAGCAGACAACAACTGGTGATGATCATAGTGCAGCATTTAGCAGCTAAAGATACATATATTTTTGACTTGGTGGAGACCAAACACAGAGCTAAAATAGAGTTAATATTAGAATTATATTTGTCAGGTGGACAGAAACACTCCAAATGAATGAATATTGCTCCTTGCTAACAAATTTACCATACAGATATTAAAGGTCATTATATATGTCAATGTTGTGTGTTCACAGCTTGTTATGGCTCATGACCCCAAATGGCCCAAACAATCTGTTACTGCAGGTTTAAAGTAGATCAGAACAATTGAAATCATAAATTACTATAAAGAAATTATATTTTTCAATTAATTGAAAAATTCCACAGTCAAGAGATTTTAAAAATCTGAATCTGGATCCAATTCTGCATCAAAATGCTTAAGGATACAGACAGACAGACATGGAATACATGTGCCACATTTTTGAAATTCAAGTGCATAAGTTCATGATAAAATAGTGAATATGTAGAAAAAGAAAATGTGTTTTAGGCTTGTGGTTATTCCTCCTCTCCATGTCCTGTAGATTTCTAGATTTCATTTAGATTCGGACCAGTGTTGCGTTGCTTTCAACCCTGTGTTATCTAATTAGTCTACACTCCGTTACCATTAAAGCTCTGTACTTACTGTACTTGTCAGGACAGTGTAAACCGTAGGTTGATTATTTGGGGTATTCATTTGCAGATAACATGCATGTGTTTTATTCAGGATTAAAACTAACAAACACTGATTATTTCTTCAGATGGAGGCCTGAGCCATGAGCCTGAGAGTTCTCCCTCCCTGTCAGAGTTCGGAGGTGTGTCGGAGCGAAGCCCATTAGTGGTCCAGACACACTCTCACCCACGGGCCTCACCCAGCCCCCCACCCATACTCCATGACCTACAACAGTCCGACAGCCCTTCCTACGTCCTACTGAACCTTGCAAAAGGTAAAGGAACAGTGAACAACCAACACTTAACTATACACATTTGAGTCCAAGAGGTACATCTACCTTTCCTATTTTGTTACAGTTATCAAAAAATGATCAATAGATCAACCAATAATACCCCGACAACAACATTATTCCTGTATGTAAGTCACTTCCTGATGGATTTCATCTTTTTAAAAGAGCGAGAAGTTTTACATTAAAACTCTAACTCTGATCTTGTGCCCGTACTTTGTGTCTTGCACGGCTCCTGATTCTACACACAGCGCTAAGAAGAAATGGGGTGACACAATTTCCTGAACAAAAAACGGAATTATTTTGGCTGGAAGAAATGATCCTTGGCAGGCACATTCTCTCGGTTCATCAGCCCTTGGCAGGAGAGCCAAAAAAATTAATTTTGGTCCCTTGACATACACCTTTTTATGCAGTGTGCTGTTTTCTGTTACCTCAGTGAGCGATGTGAAGGATAGAAAAGACTTCTCAGTAGACAGAATCACTTTGTTTATTGTTACATTAAAAAGTGATTGTTTTTTGCTTTTAAATGCGTCTGTTGGCCTGCTTCCTCTCAGCCTTTCAGAATAAAGCTATCACATCAGACCAAAAATTGCTGAGCACAATGGGAATTCAGAATTGTGACCTAGAGGTACACTGATGATCTTGCAGAATATTGCATTGGCCTTGGATTTCTTGTTTCACGGTGATTCTCCTCCTGCCTTTTGTTCCCTCTCAGGCATCACAGCCTCTTCAGAGTCACTGATCTTTGCTGCAGATGGCGCCGGGGATGATGACGACGAGGGGGTCTCATCGGGAGACTACGGGATAGATGGCAGTGCTCCCTGGTATCTGCGGGTACAAGAGCTGGCACATGACAGCCTTATTGCCGCCACGCGGGCACAGATTGCGAGAGATGCCAAGGCCAGCCAGGACGCCAGAGCTGCAAGTGTCAGTAATGGTAAAGTCACTTTGTCTTATCGGCACAAGCAGAAAGGGTTTTAGAGGTCTTTTATTCTGGAAAGTAAAGCCAAACAGGCTCCTCAGAAGAAAATACTTGACATGGTTATGTGCAGTGCAGCTACCTGGGATGTGATGAAGTTTAAGACAAAAATTAGAGCATGTACTATGAGGCCTAAGTTTTTATAGTTTAGATGCTCAGATTCAGCTTCAACTCAGTGCATGTCATCCCCTCTTCCTCTCCCACCCTTGCTGTCTATCTCTGTCAAAATAAAGGCATAAAAAGTCTGAAAAAAAGACAAAACAAACAAAGAAACTAAAAAAGAAAGTGAGCCTGTTGTACGGGAAGCAGCATATTTTTAACATAACATCATCTGGTCTACTTATGGCAGGCATCAAAGACAGAAAGAAGAGAAATGAGGTCAGTGATGAGATGAAAATGCAGTGTAATTAGCACTGACTTGAAACTGTGTTCCTCACTTCTCATCATAAGTCTCTCAATCAAAATGAATTTGTAGATTTGTCTACGTTTGGTTTTCATGTCTGACAGCAAATATCCAGTGCACTAAATGCCACATTATCATGAAATGAAGTACTTTTTGATGTGCTGTGTCTCTGAGGAGTTAAAGGACCAGTGTGTAGGATTTAGTGGCATCTAGCAATGAAGTTTCAGATTGCAACTAACTGAATACCAATCCCTGTCTACAGCCAGTGTTTGGTTTGTCCCTTCTGGCATACTGTAGAAACACGGAGGTTCAAACTCTGTAAATGAAAGTGACTCATTCTAAGGTAACAAAAACACGACATTTCCTATATTCAGGTGCTTATACACTAATGAAAACTTACATAATTTCTGCCAATACATACCCCCTAAATGTTACACAGTGGACCTTTAATGTGCATAGTTGAAAATAGTTTCCAAACTCTGCTTTGATTTTTAAAAACTCTTTTACTCTACTCTTCACTCGCCAAAATGTATCTTAATCTGTTGCTCACTTAGTTAAAAATGATCCGTGCCTTTAATCTCTTATTAAAGCTCTCACCTCTGATCTGAGACAGACACTCCTTTCCTGCAGCACACAGTGCCGCAGCGAGCTGCTGACCCGCAGCAGGAGTCAGGACTACCATCATCACAACCCATCCACAGGCCGCCTGTTAGATAAAGATTTTACCCATGACATTTAAGGCACTATGGCTCCTAGCTACATCTCTAATCTTTGAACTCCCTCTGAGTCGAATTGCAGCCGGAGATCTTGGCTAAAAAAGTGATATGAGAGCGAGCTCCTACTTTATTTTCTCCTATCCAAACCTCGATCTGTTTTTTCAGTTTATGATCTTCTACTGAAACGCTTCTACGTTTTGCTTCTGTTCTTTTGTGCTACCATCACTGCATATTGTCTTTACTGTCATTTTTGTTCACTACTATAACTGTGTGCAAAAAAACTGCTGTTTACATTAAGTTAATCATGACTGTCTTAGAATTTATATATACTGCATTTGACAGATGGTGCTGGTTGAATTCCCCTAAATGCTGAGGAAAGTTACCTCACTGCCTTCTCTCCTGAAGCAAAGCAGATTGCCAGAATTATTAGGCATTATTAAAAACTGGGTTTTTCTGGCTTACCTCAGGTGATCATGTAGCCTAGTTTAAGTTGCACTGTCTTAGCACAAGTTTTCTTTCCTTCCCTCCATATGATTTCCCCACCTTTATCCCTGACCCCATTATATTTCTATCAGTGAGAACAGTTCAAAAAGGAAAGAGGAAAAACATGTTTTAGACTATGTGGATCCAGCGTTGGGTGTCTTTGATATGATCTCCCAAGACCAAGGTGACGTGCTTTACACATAGTATCACATCAACACAAAAATTCTTCTGAGCTAGTGTGGCAGTTAAGAAAGGTCTTGAAATACTTTGCACGTTGTGAAATAAAATGTCGGCAGCAGACAGTGTTTCAGTGTGGAACTTAAACTATCTGAGCCGGAGTAATGGCTGCCCTCCCACTAACTTGCATTAGATTAGACAAGTTTCCTTCAGCAGCGGGGTATCAGTTATAGGTGCGTTACTGCTGGCACGCTGTAAGCTAAATTGGACCTGTTAAAGGCATTCAAAGCAGGGATTCCGAGTAGGTGAAAAGGGAGTGATTGCATTCAGCTTCGGGTTGTTTTCTTTTGGCTGTAGTTGTTCAGCAGGTCTCAGTCAGTACCCGATGATTAGCTCTTATACAGCCGGTCTCCAGAGGCCGGCCACCTGGCACTCCTGGATTGTTTTTTCTGCACAACCCCGCTCATTTTCCTCTTCTGGTTGCCTAGGTGACCACGCACACAGTTTGACAGCAGACGGGGACAAGCGAGAGCTGCCGCCTCGGACCAGCCGCCCCCTCTCCAAGCAGATACTCCGCTGCTCGTTTGAGGGTTGCTGCAGGACGTTCACCTGGCCGGCTCATCTCAAATACCACCTCAAAACACACAGGTAACACATAACACACACAGCAACGCAATATAATGGATCCAGGCAGCGGTTCCAACAAGTTGCTGGTGCCAAAGCATCAATATTCAACCCTGTGTAAATCCTGCCTAATGTGGATACATTTTCCAAAGTGAAATATATATTAATGAAACCTTGCAACTTTTTATACAAGTAATTACACACTGTGCAATCAAATCTTTGCTCCTAATATGAATTTATTATTACTTTATGAATTATTATTAATTATTACGTATAAAACCAACATGCAACACAGATATTTGAAGTCTTACACACAAGGTATGACTTTAAGGTGCTTCCTATGCATTGAAGCTGTGCAGCTATTTTATCTAAACAATGATGCCCAGCCCACCACAAATTTATATAAACCAGTGTTTATATAACAGAGTGCTGTCTTTCCATTTTCAAGAGCTATTACAAAAAAAGTCCTAATTTGAATAATACATTTGAAACCTTCACAAAATTCATAATATTACTGACAAAAGCATTTATCGTCTAATACTGAAGAAATTAAGGTAAATGTTTTACAGCTTAGTCAGAAGAGTGATCACAGGTTGTTTGTGGTGGAGGCAGACAGAGCAGCCAAACAGGAGAAACACAGCTGAGACTTGGAAAGGAGTGTGTACTTGTACTGCAGGAGCTTTGTTAACATCAGTGTAGGAGATCTATTTGTGCCCCCCCCCCCATCTGACCCCGTGGTGGGCAGTTGCAAATTAATCGTGTGCACAGGAGACACCGATGCTTGTTTGTTTGGTTATCTTCGCTACCAGGAACGACCGAATGTTCAGGTGCTGCGCAGAGGGCTGCGGGAAGAGCTTCTACGTGCTGCAGAGGCTGCAGGTTCACATGAGGACCCACAACGGCGAGAAGCCCTTCATCTGCAAGGAGAAGAACTGTGGCAAGAAGTTTACCACTGCTGGAAACTTGAAGAACCACAGACGCATACACACAGGTGGGGGAGCAGGAGATACCCACATATATAAAAGACGCTGGAAGCAATAACTGACTCAGACCATTTGACTCTGCTCATTTAGTGCTTCCTTGGGGCAGTCAAGGCTGGAGATTTGAAGAGTCAGCAGCACTGGCGCCTCCATTTCACTGCTGCAATGAGTAACAGTACTCTGTCATATTTTATTTAGGGTGACATTAAGAGTTTGATGGCCTGTTCCACAGTCTGCTTCTTCTATCGAGGGACCAGTTAGCAGACCGGCTACACTATACAGTGTTTATATTTTGCCCATATGTCTGGAAGAACAGCTTTCTATGAGCTGTAATATCCACTTAGGTGGATAAAATTATATTACATTTTTTACATCAGCTGTCACCATTCGTTCTAGAAACAACAGGAAAGCTGCATTCTCTACAACCAGTGTTTTTTAGGCCATTGAAATTACTGGTTGACTAAAACAGGTTCTCAATGCCTAATGCCTTTATTTAGGGAACAGAGGGAGCACATTTGTTTAGCCCCCAATCTGATCCGATTTTATATCATACAGGTGCACAAGTTATTAAAATAAATCCAATGTATATGCTTGAGAATTAAATAGCTGTGTATTGCATTAAAAAACAAAATGCCCACATCGAAAGCTGTTCCTTAATGTTTTATTTAATTTATTTACACAATAAATAATCCCTAATAATTGCATTGTCCATGCACAGTACAATCTAATATACATGGTTACCTTGGTAACATGTTGTTTTAAATGGAATTTTGAAATAGAGAAAACACGTTGCAGACGCCATTCAATTGCAATATTCTATACAACATTATATAAAGGACCAGTATGTAGAATTTAGTGGCATCTAGTGGTGAAGTTGCAGATTGCAACTAATTGAATGCTGCTCAACTTCAAAGGTGCAGACAGACCCGTTGCTATAGCTGAGCTTTTAGTGTTGTCCATTAAGCGGGCTACTTTAGAAACGGAGCAGTTCAACACGGTGGACTTTGGCAGGAAGGAGGACCCGCTCCCTCTGCCTAGCAGTAAAAACAGCTTCATTCTAAGGTTACACAAACACACAATGATCTCCTATATTCAGTGTGATGGGTTATACACTAATGGAAAAACCATACCTATGAATATTATAATTCATTTCTGCCAATAGGTCTTCCTAATTGTTACACACTGGATCTTTAATGCTAGCCAGTAATGGTTTTAGATTAGATTTGCTGTTATTTAAGATTGGAGAAATGTGTTAATATTTAGAAAAGATTCAATTTAAACAGCAGGGTGCATGAGAGTTACAGGGCTCGAAACTAACTTCTTTACCACCTTCCCAAAACTCACAAGGCAGAGCACTAACATCGTTCCACAGCAGCCACATTGACATGGCTGCCTGCAGATGGGTTTTTTGTTTAACGGCCTCGTGAGCGCAGGGCTTGGCCGATGCTGATCTCAGAATGCCAGATAATCAACTGACTCATTGGTCTATCATTAATATCACTTTCAACATATTCTGCGATAATGAGTTTACTACTTTAAGTCTTTGTATTGTGGAATTGAACAATGTGTGTGTGTGTGTGTGTGTGTGTGTGTGTGTGCTTGGTGGGTGGCTGCTTCCAGGAGAGAAGCCTTTTCTGTGTGAAGCAGATGGTTGTGGGCGATCCTTTGCAGAGTATTCCAGTCTACGAAAACACATGCTCGTACATTCTGGTGAGTGGGACCGAGTACAGCTGTACAGCTGAGCGCTGTTTCTTTAGTAATTAGTGTGCTACAGATATAGTATATGATCACATCCTGTATCAGTACAGGGATCACAGAATAGTATGTCTCTTTTGAGTTGTGTGTGTGTGTCTTCCAGGTGAGAAGCCTCACCACTGTGGGATCTGTGGGAAGACTTTCTCTCAGTCCGGCAGCAGAAACGTCCACATGAGGAAGAGACACGGAGAGGAGGGGCTCAGTAGTGAAAGCAGAGAAACAGGTCTTTCTCACTCGCATTATCTCTTTCTCACACACACAAAGTGCAGTAGGTGGTTATGCTAATCCTTGGATTATGTAGCTTCAAGCAGCCTATACATTTTAAAATGTGCATAGAGATGGTGTTGGTTGAAGTTACATTTAGGAACATTTTTTGAATAATTAATGCCCTTGAGCACTTAAAAATGTATCATTCAAATTTTTATTCTTCAGGGCCAGTAGCCGAATTGTTTTAGACTGCGCATATCTCTGGAAAAGCAGAGACAGCACAACTGTACCGCAGAAATAGGCCTGTAAGGCTTGTTGTGATGGGGTCAGATTCGTCTGTAAAGTATGTTATCACCAAGTTAAAATGGCACAGTAACTCAAATTCATGTCCTCAAGCTTCTCTTGCCTTACTCAGATGTCTTTTTTGCCTTCACCTTACAAATGACTGAGATAAATGAGTGGATACTTGAGTAAATCTCCCACTGCAGCTGTGGGAGATTTACTCAAGTTCACTCCTGCCTCTATTCTTAGTATCAGTTTCAGTACCTCTTCAGATTAAAAGCGTCTCTCAGTGAACTCTTTACATTCCAACATATGGTCTAATTGTACAAAATCAGCTTAAATTAGTTTTTTTTGCCGTGGAACAATGAGAGCAGACAGAGCATTTGCCTCCTTGTCACATTGCTGTAGCAGTGGGAAGCACCGCAGCTGAATCACCACAGAGGAAACGCTGCCAAAGCTCTAATTATAAACAGCAGATTTATTCGGGTCAGTCTCCCCAAAGAGGCTGGTCTTTTGTAAAAGCAGAGCAAAGGAAGATGCAGCTTCACAACAGAGGGATAGTCTCTGTGTTATTTATACTGGATGAATTATTAAATTGACTGTGTTGGAATAACTACAGTCCTAAAAACAACCGAACCCAAGAGTCAAAAGGTAACAGAAAGTTAGTAATTAAGTGTAGATATCAGTTCTCAGACTGGCAGTAAATTGTTGGTTGCAAGTTTTTTTTAAAGGTAAAGTGTGTAACATTTAGGAGGATATATTGGCAGAAATTAAATATAATGTTCATAAGTATGTTTCATTAGTGTATAACAACCTGAAAATGAGAATTGTCGCGTTTTCATTTTTATCTACAGTTGCTGCAGGTCACCTTCCATTGAGTCCGCCATGTTGAACCGCCACGTTTCTAATGAACAAGCCAAACCCCGACTCCAGATAGGGACGCCCCCTTTTTCTACGCGTTTCAAGGCCACCATAGTTCCTCCTACTCACTTCAAAGCCCGTTGTCATTGTCAGGTCGTCAGATACATCTGTGAGCAATGTTCAGTTAGTTGCGATCTGCAACATCGCAGCTAGATGCCACTAAATCTTACACACTGATCCTTTGAAGATTGTACAGAAGAAGTACAGCGCGTGTCCCTCGACATTTCACACTTGTCAAAAGTTTGTTGTTTGCGCCTTACAGGAGAGGCTCTAACACAAAGCAGCCTGCTGGAGGCAGACGGCGAAAACGGGGACAGTATGGTCACCATGACAACAACCGTGGAGCCCATGAATCTTCACCATGCCATGCTGAGATCCCCAGGTAGGTGTTCGCACATGTATAGCACTCACAGCAATACAGAGTGGACAAAGCACATCTCACAATAGAATAACCTGCTCTAAGCAATCATTTGACACCGTTTATGTCAGAGGTGCTGAGTCAACTTGGGGTGTTGCAAAGTGTTTTTCAGTCACTGCTTGTGACAGTCTGTTAGTAATTTCTGTTACTCTTTGACAGTCCAGCTTTCTTGTGTTTGACTAAGTTGTCACGACTTTGAGATGTTTTCTTTTTTTTTCCAACAATGGACCAAAAATCCAGGCAGCAGCTTCCAGGCCTCTTTGTACTTTTACTGCAGTTTGCTTATGTTGCCTTGAAAACTCTGATTATATTAAAATGGTGATTGTTAAAGTTGGAAAAAAAAAAGAAAAACAGTTTGTCGGTAGCTCACTCTACTTAATGACTCAGCTGTGTAATTGCCTTTGTAGTGGTGACTTAAAATAGTAAGAATAGAAGATTTTTGTGACTCTTGTCGCATTATATCACTTTGTTTAGCAATATCCTCTCCTCTCTTCTAAAATCTTACCAGTCAGCTTATAAATTATACATTTTACACAGAGTATCCCTCTCACCAGACATCAGGATGAACCCTTCAGATTCTGATAAATGTAAGGTGCTGTGGGAACATATGTTTAGGTATTGAGATGCTGTTTATACTCTTTGTTTCCGACTCTGTTAGCTATCTGCCTAACAAACCTCCACCCGTCTGTCCTGCAGTGTTTCTTCTTGGTTGTGGTTCTGCTGTTTGTCTCAGATACACAGCTGAAATTACTGGCTCCAACCCAGCTATGATTTACTTACATTAACTCTTTAACTGTTACAATATTACTTCACAACTGGAGCACTCAACAGCCAAGTTACATGGTGCTGAATACTGAGATCTTACTTTAAATCATCTTTTTTTTCAAATTGTGATGCATGTAACTCATAAGATTGTAATATGTCTGTCTGTGCAGTGCCTACTCTTTAATCATCATAGGAACTGCACTAGTAAAGCAGACTAGTGGTCACAAGTAGACCGTTACTACTACACTTTTAAAGTCAAGATATGTGTGTAATGCTGTAAAGAAGTGGCCAGAGTTCAGTCAACTCTAGTAGCATATACCTATACCGGCTAATGAGTTATTTAATATTAGTGCATTATATTGTTGTAAAATGGTTTTTGTATACATAAATATTTGGATATATAACATGTAACTTTTATTCCCATCTGTCAGAACTTCAACAGGTCCACATGTAATGCCCATAGATAGTATTCACTCCTCCTCAGGCTTTAACTCTGAATACTTTTCATAGGCCCAATATTACAAAGGTATCTTTGTGTGTCCTTGAGTTTTTCCTAAATTAGCCTGTCAGCATTAAAACCAAAAGGCATAACCATGTGAAAGCTTGCAGAAAGTCAAGGACAAATGTATTAGGAGAGTTTTTGTCCTGAAAGGTGTGTTTCATCTCATAATGACAGCAGCTAGACCTTACTGTAAGTACGTACATGTCATGTTACGCGGTAGTTTTTCTTTGAACTTGTCTTTGTGTCCGTCCCTCCAGGCTCTGCAGACTCGGTGGTGGTTCTCTCCCAGCCACATGAATTGGTGACCATGACAACCGAAGGCCACGCATATGGAGAAGATGTGGTGGCGCTGCTGTAGTGTGCCATCATGAAAAATGTCACACACTGCCTATTTCAGCAGCACTAAACTGACAGTCGCAGTGGACTAAACATAGACATCTATTTGTAAATAAATTAATCACTGACCTTCACTGCTGTAGATATTTGTAATTAGCAATGGATGATGGTTTTATTTTGACAAGTGTGAAATGGCTATGTTTGTACAAACAACCTTTTTTTCCTCAAGTTTTTGAAAATACTCCCAAAGAAATACTGAGACGGGTTTAAAAGTTTATGGAAAAAATAATGACCATGCATTGTTATGTGCAGTATCATTGTAAACAGTCTGAGGTTGATTTGCATTGATGATATTCTCCAATGGAAAATGACTCCCAGATATTTTAAAAACTCCAATAGCTGATATGATTGACTGTCAAGTTAAAATGTACCAGACACATGTAAACCCCATTATTACTAATAACAAAACACTTGACATTAAAGACTGCTAAAGTACAGTATATCACAGTGCTGCATGTAAACGCTGGTCTTGCACACCACAACAAGCCAGGCTCTTTATCAGCCTGAGTAAAACAGAAACCTATCTCCAACAAATTGTGTACACAGTAATGCCTAAACCTGCATTAGCTCAGTGTGTTATTGGTAACATCTTTCAAATGTCAACCTCCAGTGCTCCACTTGTTCTAAGAGTAAGGCACACATTGCTCATTTACAGCTCAATATATTAACACTTGAGAATAATTGCTTTTTAAAAGAAATTAAGGATTACTCATGAGGTTAGTTCTGTCCTTATGAGACAAACTGCAGATGTCTGTGGACGTTAGATAAGGCAGTGCACATTACTCGTGTTTGTTATTGAGCACTACCTAAATCAGCAGTGTTTGTTCCTCCCTTCTCCTTAGTGGATCTTCAGGTTGTGGAAGTAGTCCAACGTGGCGCCCAAAGCCCAGCTTGACTCCACGTTGTTCACTTTCTTGGTCAGCTGGGAGGGGGGGAAAAAACCCAACACCAAATGCCTTTTGTATTTATTGAAATAAAAAAGTAACAGTTTTTTTTTGTGTAGAATTTCCTTTTTTTAAATTCACTTTTTACGTCAGAGCATTAATTGTGTTATTTTTAAACTACGTATATTTTAGGTTATGTCAAAGTGTGCACTACAACTTCAATAATGACTTTGTGTTTAACATGTCAGGGGTAACAGAAAAGGGTCAGCCATCTCTGCCATCACTAATGCGTCATGGTCTCCTCCTGGGGTCTATTAAAATGGCACTAACACATGTTAATGGAGGCTATTTTAAACTCAACCACGTTCGTGTCTTTTAATGAGTTCATATCTTATGATTCATACAACTCTAGTCTGAGCTTCACAACTTTAAAAAATGATTCCCTCTGTTGATTCCTCATAAGCAAGGCCACAAATCTTGTTGACTGTGTTGTCTAAAACTGCCTCACCTGCAGCACAGTGCTCTCCTTGAAGCCAAACCCATCCTTGAGCAGACAAGTGATATAGGTCATGTCCATACACAGGAAAGAACTGATGGGAGGGTACTTGGTCATCTTATTGCACACTGAACAGACAAAAGGGGGAAATCATGTCTGTTAGGTTGGATAATTATCTGTATTCTGCTGAGGGCACCGTTTCAGATAGCAGCGAGGACGCAAGTCCAGACTATTGAGATGCACACTGTGTCTCAAGTACAGGGAGCTGCACATCTGTCATAATAACGATGCATTGCTTTTCCAATTCTCACCCTCTTTAGCTCTCTTCTTGAAGTCTCTGACCTCCAGCATCCCTCCTTGAACCCCATCTGTAACAGGGAGTGATTTGGGGTCATCTTCCTCACATTTAAAACGAGATACCATTAATTACCAGAGCAGATCTTCGTGCACATTTCCATAATACTAATGACACAGTTTCTGCCCTTTCAGCTTGGACTGGCAGAGGATAGCAATTTCTCTAATAACTACACACCTATAGCTGCTCAAATCCACTGAGACAGGCGCAGATGACTCATTGTCCTGCCTCTGTCTAGCACTGGAATGGGTAATAACATCCTGCTAGGTCTGTATAATTATGTAAGGTGTGTGAGAGTGTGTGCTAACCGATAAGGCCTGCATCCACCGCTCTGTCAAAGTAATAGGAGAATGCATAGAAAACACTGCTGTCTTGAAGCTCGTACGGCTGATGAATAATCCCCTTCACCACCTTAAGTACTTCCTGATAACAAAGCTTGTATCCTGCATAACCTGGAGAGGAAACAGAGACAGCGGTGTAAATTATGCATCTTGCGTTGGAACAACAATATGAAATTATGCGTAATTCTACTAAGTCTGTTTTAATGGGATTTGGAAACATTACTGCAGATTGGTTGGTTGGCGTTAAAACATTTTCAGTGTTGTATTTGCTCAAATCTGTCACTTACTCTGGACATTAGTAGTCTGCAAGAATCCCCCATCAGAAGGATATTAAAAGCGATGATTATACTGACTGATTATATGTTAAGTAAACCGGATCTTACCATCTGGGTCCCCGCTCACTTGATAAGTCAGCCCTCCAAAGCTCCATTCATCCCTGAACTTCTTTGGCAGGCAGGAACTTTTAAACACTCGCCACTCCAACCCTGTGAGAGCAAGAACATGACTTGTTTCATCTAAACTGGCTCAATGGCCTCACACCTGGTCACCGTGACCTGAGACTGACTCACTAACACAATTTTCTCTGAAGCCCTTCGATGACTTATCTCAGAGTCTCACTTGAATTGTTTATTAGAAAAAAAGACTTGAAGTACATCCCACAATAACGCCCTTCTGTCGTTGACTCCTTTACTGAGTATTTGGAGAAATGGGTAGGAAGGAAAGAACACCCGAGAGAGCACTTGGAGAACTGACTCACTGCTGTGTTTCGGTATCCTTAAGAGACACACTCACAATGAACAACATTGACCCACAGCTAATGGCAACAGACTGCCTTTTCCTCATGTACAGCACAGTACCTTCTGCACCCAAAGCGCCAAGTGTGGCCAGCCGAGCTGCCATCAGTCCATTTCCAAGGTAACTGGATGAAGTTAGAGGATTGTTATACAGTTACAAAACCAACCAGGAACAGACTGTGTATGTAACAAGTAAGTCATTCTGAAAATAGGCCAAACAAATGGTCTGCCTATTATTCATGTCCTAATGACTAAACAGATAATAGAAGTTTTCCTGATTAAAAACAGATCCCAGTGAAGTTACAACAACAAAAGTCAGTTGCATTTGTAACTTAATCAGTCAATACTGGAGGCAAATTAATACATTTAATCAGGAACTGATTCGGTGCTACTACAAATAATTAACATGTAGGATTGCTGTTTTATGAAACATGGATTAATTATAGACTCTTACCTGTGAGTGTACAATTCAAACGTTGAGTTGAAGATGTCAAATCTGGCAACGTAATCAGCAACAGGAACACTTTCAATGGTTTTCTACAGTGGAATATGAAGGACATATCTGGTTACTAATCACTAAAGAGTTTAATTTGTACAGAAATCTGCAAGTGAACAACTGACCCTGAGTTTTGGCAGGAAAGTAATCTGCGTGGATCCTCCTCCAAGATCCAAAATTCCCACTGTCTTCTTGGTTTGTGCTTTCAGGTGACCTGAAAACATTTCCTACTTTAATTGCAGCCACAACAGAGAAGAGCTAATCAGTTATACCTTAGATGCTATCTTCAAAAAGCCTGTGTGACACAGAATGTGTGACCCAAAAGTATAAATTCCCAACACTGAGCCTGATACGGATCAGAGCTATCCCCTTTAGGGAACAAAATCATAATTGTATGCATTCAGCCTGTAGTTTTGAACCAGGAGTCTATAATAAGACACTATGACAGTTTCAGACACTGAGTTAAATTTAGATGTACAGTAGCTGAGCTCGGAAAACACATTCAGGAGGGATGTTCAGTGTGTTATGTTGCAGCTCATGTAGACATGAGTGTACAATACTCACTTGTAAGGAAATTCACTGATATCCAAGCCAGGATTCCTACATTAAAGAGCAAACAGGCAAATCAAGAAATATAAAACAGTCATTCCAGCTGGAACACAGTTCATTTGAGAAAAGCTGACAACAAATTTTCACAGAAATTACTGTTTGCCGTATACAAACACTTGTGCAAACACGTGAGTAAGAGCTATAGTTCTAAAAACAAGGTTGAAATGCTGACAAATCAATTACACTGTGACACAACAGACAATAACAAATTTTCGCCACATAATTGCAGCCTTTAAGACAACAACAACTTTGCGGTGAGGAGCAATTTCATTTTTTTAAGTCATCATAAAAGACAGCAATAATCTACTGTAATTTAGTTAAATCTCTGCAGTAAACAAAGATTCCTTATAGAAATTGCACAGCACACTAAAAGTAGGGCAGCAGGATCACTGATGCCACCTACAAAGTAGTGCAGAAAGAACATGAGCCATAACTGACGAATGTGTTACTTGTCAGGGCAAAGGGTGGGCAGACGTTACCTTCGTTCGTGCCGTTCATTATGCTGACGCTGTTGTCTGGGACCAAAAAAGGAGATTCATCAAACACATGTTGAACCTGTGGGTGAAGAAGAGGAGGGAGGAGAGTCAAAATGAGAGGGAGAGAGAAGAGGGGGGAGGGAGAAGAAGGATGAGAGCACGAGAGAGCCAAGAAAAGCAGCAGAGAAATGGCCTTAATGTTATCTACTGTAAGGGTAGCTCATCCAGAGGTGCCCTCTGCTTGAAGGGATTAATTAATTCCCTCAGGGGGATTAATAAAGTATCACTTATCTTCCAAGGTGCCCCAGGGCCATCCATTACTATCTTATCCCCTCCACAAGACCCTTCTACACTAAGCTCACACCACTCTGATAACAATACTCTTCCTCTTGTCTCTGTGCCACCTGCCATAGCACTGGAAATGTCTCTGCCTGCTCCTTCCCTGGATAATAGGTTGCACCTTCCTTTGAAAGTGTCAGACAATGTAACGCCTAACAACTCCCCTACGATAAAGAACTGCGCTCCACTTTACAGAGATCCCAACAGTAGGTCATCAGCGCCACTGCACTCTTTTACCTGGTCCAGAAGAGCCTGGGCTTTCTCTGCAGCCAGCAGCCGAAGTCCAGCTGTGGCTCTGAGGACCACTGGAGTTCTCTTCCACTCCAGACGAGGCACAGTCTTCTTGGCCACCTTTAGCAGCATCTTCACCGTGTGTCCAGCCTTTAAAGACAGAGGCAATGCTCACTACGTAACAGCACTGCTTAGAACTGGCTTTTGATAATAGGCTGCCTGGTTAGAGTTGAGAAAACACTGTTCCATATCAGGCTGCTTCAATCTTCACTTGTTATTCTCACATCCTACTTACTTTAATTAGACATGTGATTCCCCACAGAGGGAGGCTATTGGCAGTGTTTCTGAGTACAATGCAGAGCCAGTGGACCTTTTCCTTTGGCTCAATGTAATTGATTAGACTTCACAATGAACTCACCATTTCAGGGGAGTCGACATATGCTGACAAACCGGGCTTTATGGAATGGAACATCTCATTGTCCAAAACAGGCAGCTCCTCTAAAAGATACAAGATCCACCCACATCAAATCTGCAGCAGCTATTAAAAGCATTAAGACGTCTAAATCTGCTTAGCATGCATATGCAGAATATATCCCCTTATTCAAGATGAGGCATGTTGACTCGAATCTGACAAAATAGGATTATTGCTTAAAAAGTTAATGGAGTCAAGTATAACCTCTGTCCCCTGAAGTGAAAATGTACAGGTTTACAGGAGGGAGAGGATAGAGAGAAAGTTGAGGACAGGGACAGGAACTGTAGAGCAGCTTGTGACTCTGCTGTTTGCACTGTAAATCAATTGAGCTTAGTATTTCACAGGCCATGTAAATATGGCATCCTCGCTGCAGTAAACACACATATGATTTAACCTGCCTCTCACCCTGATATCATAAGATGAGTCAAAACAGCAGAGGGAAGAAGGTCAGAGTCTGCCCAGTATTACCTGAGCCACTCTGGATGAAGGTGTAGACATGGATGCGTGTCCCTGTGCTCCCTGCATCAAACATCACTGCATAGAAGATGCGGCTGTGGTTTGCTGGTCGGCTGAGACTGGGAAGGACGCTCCCGATGCTGTTGGTCAAATCCAGCAGAGAGGTCCTGACCTGGGCTCGGCTCAGCCCTGCGACCGCGAGCAGGACCAGGAGTGGAAGTGGCACGGTGAGCTTCATCTTGACTCTGGGCAAGGAGCAAAAAAACAGCAACAGGTATCCTTCTGTTACCGCACTTTAGCACAGTTAGTCTATTGAACTGTTTTGAACTGCTCATAAAAAGCAGCTCAAACTGTTGCTGATTAGCATTGGGAGATGTTAAACAAGCAGCAGAGTCATTCACACCAGGGCATTTGACCACTCCCCGTCAGACTTTCTGACCAACCACAGGGACAGATCCCAAAATCAACCTCTCCACCTGCTGAGTCAACTCCCGTGGACAATTTAGAAAACATCCCAATTTCAGCGTGTAGGACTTACATTGGTGGACTTTAATCCTTTGATCTTAATGTTCAATCGATAAAACACAGAAACCGAAGCATGTCTCAACATCTCGCTACAAAACTCAGATATCTAATGTGAGGAATTATGATGTGTTAAAGGCCTCAGTCAAGCAGTGTCCTGTGGGAAACCCCACTGAGACGCTGTCACCCTGCTTACACTGAAAATGAAGAGACTGAAGACTTTTTTATTTTGTGCTATTGTCGGGAAAACTTTAATAAAATGAATAGAAATGCTACAACTGGACATGTGACCGTTATGGAAACTATGGCATGACTTTACAGTTAATCTACCAAAACCCCTGGCTCTGTCCCTTTATTCCTTTATCATTTATTTATTGCTAAGTGGTATCTATAAAGAAGACAAAGGACTATAGATGAATTTTCTCATGGGTTTTATTTGCCTACTGCAAAGGGTGCATGCTTGCTGATTTTAACCAACTCCCTGCTGAAGATGCAACTAACCCTCCTTCATAAATGTACAGAACCAGTTACGTGTGTCAGACACATTCAAAAATGAATGTGAACTGTAATCATCTCATCATATAAGAAGGGCATGTATTAGAGTGTGTACTATTGTTTTACTGATGTCTTCAGTGACTTGTATCAATGTAAAGTAACTGTGTGGCTCCAGAGTGGACAGTATGCTCTGAGGCAGGGTAAAACAGGGAACTGTGTCAGCCTTCACTCAAGTCACCTTATAATCTTATTCAGTTTTTTCATTTTTAGAAAACTTTGCTGTAGTTCTTAAATACCTATATTCCTCCTGCTGACTAAAGGCACAAAAGTCACATTATAGAACTTTTCCCTGATTTAAAACAATGTTCTCACAGCTGTATAGTTAAATATCATATTAATCAACACTGTCAAACTATATAAACAATAATGTCTGAGTGGAATTTAGATTGGAAACAAAGAATCATGATTGGATCTGAAGAGGTTATTGTTGCTGCGCATACTTTTTTATAAAATAAAGATTTTATAAAATATTAGCACTGAAAGTGTGTTGGGAGTTTCAGGAAGCTTAGTTTTTATAAAGTTATGTAAGGTTAATTATATTTTTACAGTTTTCAAACCATTATATTACTGATCTAGGGCAGTTTAGGATGCTTATATGCAGGATATTCCCAGAGCAGCCTCACTACATAATGAATTCAAAAAGTCTCTTGCCAGACGAACAATTTTAAAAGTAAAATAAACCTACTTTTATTGTAGCAGTAACAGAACCCAACCAGAAAATGTTAGCATAAAACTCTATCTAACAATCTACTGCCCTGTACATAAAGTTAATAACCCACTATCAGAGAGGCACTGACGGTAAGCAGCATGTTTTATCAGCCAGTGTCTCCGGATGTGAATTCAGTACAAGTCATGTGAAACATGTAGTTCATTCAATTCACAGCACTACAGTCTTTATACAAAACAAACTCCAGCTCTGATGGTTGTTATTGGGGTATTTTATCTTGTTAAACTTTAATTATTTAAAATATTAAGAGATTACTCGTTAGTCGTGTTTTAAACGGTCGTTACCGGTAACTTGTTAACGCTATAATGAACAGTTAACCCAAGAGATCTCCGCTCTACACTGAATCATTTACACCTTTCTCCTCGGTGTTTGTTAACACTAAGTTACCCCACATTAGAGCAAGGCAGCCGGTGAAGTTTGTCAACAAGCTATCTCAGTTAGCTGACTGTCGCTCATTACAGCGGGTTCCTCAAAGCCGCTAAAAGTGGAGACAAAACTCCCAAAACACTCCGGGAAGAAACCAAAAGAAACCTCAGCAGTAGAATATGTAGGTTAGCTGCTTATATGAGTGTTTTCAGGACGCTAAACACGGTCCGAGCTCACCATGTTGTCCGGTTAGCTGCTCTTCTCGAGGCTGGCTCCTCGTGACGTCACCCGTGTTGTGATGACGACGACGATGACGAGGTGGTGGTGGGGAGTCTCGTGCGGGGCTCATCAGTGGATGGCACGATAAAAGATGTTGAGTACAAAACAGCCAGCCCACTAAGAACAATATAATTCCCACCCTGTCAATTCAGTGGTTCATTTTCTGCCAGCAGTAGCATCATTTCTAATGTATACTTTTCACAGGCTGTCAAAAGAGTGGGATGTTTTCAGCAGAAAAGATTATAGGCTGTGCATTGCTGAATCAGAGAAACTCAAGTTCAAACATCATCCCATACTTTCCTTCTGTGGAATTCGTCAGGCATCGTTTAGATCTGCACCTTCTTTGCTCCAGCATACCAAATATAATATAATTTCCCTCAGGATAAATAAAGTATCTATCTAAATATGGCAAATGCAACGAACCAGAGGACCATTTGAACACAAATTAGAATTCATTTGAGTCAAATCTTTATTCAAACAGTGAACTACAGACTCAAATACCATTATTATCATCTCTTAATCTTCAGCCACAAGACCTAAAATAGTCAAGGGGACAAAGTGTGAAGTAGCTCAAATACTTTGGATGGAAAGGTGTCAAGCACATACTGTGCTGTAACTGCAGCACTACTAACAGTTTCATCACAGGGATTTCATCACAATGGTTTATAAAGAATATCAGATGTCAGGTCTGTGTAAAGTAAAACACTGCAATTTAACCTCTATATCACTCATGACCACAAAAAGTATCACTCTGACAATACAGTACAAAACTGTGAACCTCTATCAGACACACAAAAGACACATTAATCCTAACACTGGACAGCATACGGTAGGATATACATTTAGAGAACTCAGCAACCATTGTTTCAGTTTTAATGGAGTTGTGTAGTGAATGGGCGTGTCCTTGTAACAGGCTAAAGAACCACAGAGGATACTGGAGGAAGACAGCTGATTCTTTAAAATGCAGAATCCCTGATCCTTTTGTTTTTTTACTGTAGGTTTTAAGAAATGTGATACCAGGGTGCACAGCCGATCACAAAAATGACCATGATTAAATAATCGTCCACCCGCTCAGAACAGGAGAAAAAGGATACAAAATACAAGAAACCAATGAAGAGGCTCACAGCACCATTCATTGCATCAGTCCACTTCATTTCCCCCATATCCAAATGAGGTCTAATTTGCATTTGTGTGTTTGTGCAACAACATTGTTTAGGATGTTCAGAGTTCACCAGCTAATCACCCCCCCGTGTGACTATTTCTCAACAGTGAAAACAACATGTAACGTTTTTTTGTTTGTTTTTTTTTCCAAATTCCCTCCGCGTGCTTCTTTTTAAGGCATACGACAAGTCAGTGACGGTTCTGCTGGATGTGCTGTCAACTTAGCGTCCCATGGTTGGCATGGTAACAGCTGGGCTCGTCAAAGTAGCGTCCTCAGCCTTCCACTGCGACGTCACAGTCTTGATCTGAGTGTAGAACTGGATGCCCTGTTAGTAGAGAGACATGATGTGCAGGTTTTTATTTGGATGCAGAGTATTTCACAACACATGACAAGCTGCTTTTGTTATTTACCTGCTTGCCATAGAAGTTGGTGTCTCCTCTGAACGAGCCTCTGGAGCCAGTGAAGGAGAACATGGGGAGGGGGACGGGGATGGGCACGTTCACGCCAATCTGTACAAATGCAGACGCACATGAAAAGAAATCATACATAACTACTACCAGGGATCAAATATAATGTGTGTTATTTGGCTGGCATAATCTTTCATATGTTATATATGGCATGTTTAAAACCAGGTGTGACATCAATATGTATTTTCATCTTTACACGTATACTACATGGTCCTCCGAACTAACTTTAAAAGTAAATGTGATGGAGACACAGACAAATAATTTCTTTAGGATGAATGTTGTGAAAAATTATTTTCTCACTATCTGCAGGAGAAGTGTTGTTATATATTTAAAATTCTACATCGACTCCACTGGAGCGAGACTCGATTATCACACAGAATCTGGATCAGACTCATGGCTGCTGCAAACTGGCCCCAAACTTCCTATGTATTGGCAGGTGATACCATCTTAAAACATGCAAATGTTTTAAGATGGCTCTTCCTGACATTACAATGTACATTTGAGCGTGTGTATTATTTTAAGGTAGATGAGCACATCCTTTAATGTCTAAAAACATCAGCAAAATGGCTCTATTCCTTTCTATTCCACATGAATGATGTCCGTTTTCTTCTTTTTCAGTCACAATGCTTCCCACACAAAACTGTTTACTCATCATCAAGTCTCACACAGGTGACTCACTGAGGACCAAAATAACACCAAAGGTGAATGAAAACCATGTAGAACCAATAGCGTTATCTGATATATCTCCAGCATCATTTTATTCAGCCTTGGTAAAAAAGCGTCCCTCACCTGGCCAACGTCCACCTCATGTGTGTATTTGCGTGCTGTGGCTCCATTGGTGGTGAAGATGGCGGTGCCGTTGCCATAGGGGTTATTGTTGATCAAAGAAATCGCTTCATCAAGATCGCCAGCCTCCAGGACGACAAGCACCGGTCCAAAGATCTCCTCTTTGTAACACTTCATGTCCGGCTGGAAAGAATGATCACATCAGAGATTAACAAAACATGCAACTAGTGCTTTAAATGCATTTAGTAAGACTTAAAAGCTACTTTCTATTTTAATAGATGCCACGTCCGACAATCATAACAGAAAACCTTGTCGGGTGGGGGAAAATGTCCCTGAGAAAGCTACACGTTATTTAGATGATGGTTTTATAAGTCTGTACTGTGACAGCCAAGTTGTCTGGGCAGGAAAATCTGTCCCAAGTTCCCATAACTCACAGAGTAGTCCAACTTTTAGGCTTAGGAGTAAAAAGCATTTTATTAGCTTTCTTAACCTGGGAAATTACTTCATCTCCTCAGGATATAAGAACTGTGGAGCTGTTCTAACCTTTGCTCAGCAGATATTAAGGCTAACAGTTATACACATTCAAGTTGCGGGGATATGATTTCAAATAATAACAAGTTTCATCTAACATATTTCTTGTGTTTGATAGCTACAAAAAGCTCCACAGAAATGAATTCCTGCAATGTCCTAGCAAACACTGTGTTTTTCTCTCTGCAACTTACAAATGTCATACTGGAACTTACAGTTCTTGCAGTAAACAAAAAAAAAGAAAAAAGGTGACCATGTTGCACCCTTTTGTCTTTGACAAATCTCACCGTAACATTGGCCAAGATGGTGGGTCCTACAAAGTTTCCATTTTCATATCCTTTGACGTTGACATTTCTTCCATCCAGCAGCAGCTTGGCACCTTCATCCACCCCACTCTGGATCAAAGACTCCACCCTGGCCCTGGCATCGGGAGAGATCAGGGGCCCCACATCTGCCCCAGGCTGATCGCCTTTAGGATAAAATACACGGTCAAATGTCTCTTTATAAAAAAGGTCAGTATCATGCTGCAACATTTTATATGCATAAGAACAAATACTATTTGAAATGCTTGGAAAATCCACATTGACACTGTCATTAATGAAGTTACCTGCATTTACACGCAGTGATTTGGAGCGCTCCACTAGCTCTGGGAGCCATTCACGAGAATCCCCTACAAAAATAGCAGTGGAGAGAGCCATACAGCGCTGGCCAGCTGCTCCAAACGCAGCACCAACCAGCTGGTTGATGGTGTTCTCTTTGTTGGCATCAGGCATCACCACACCATGGTTCTTGGCACCCTAAAATTAAAAATATAGGACACAGCTCTGTAGGGTTTCTCTCAAGTTAGACTGTAGTACGTCAAACAGAGGCAGCACAGTGCAAATCACACACATTACAAATATCAGTGATATTACTGAGTTGTTGTCTTGGTAACAGTAGTAGTAAAAAAAATAGTAAAATGAGTTCTGCTGTACCATGTTGGACTGTACTCTCTTTCCGTTCTTGGACCCCCGCTCGTAGATGTGTTCTCCAGCGGGGTTGGAGCCCACAAAGCTGATGGCTTTGATGGCCGGATGGTCACAGATGAAGTTCACCGCTACACAAAGATACAAATGGATATTGTAAATCCTCTCTTTTTCATCTGTGTCGCACCCTTAAGGCACAATATAGGAGCACAAAGGCCTCGAAATCAGAGGTACAAATCCTCTTGCCTCAAACACTTGTGAATTACTTGCAGATATAGGCTGCGCATATTATGGAAATTTCCTATCTACATATTGCCAGGGGGTATATGATTAGTGTTTGAATCATCCTTGGACCTTTCCCCATTGCTTATTACACACACAGATTGCGTGTCTGAATAAACATGGAGAGACACACACACACACACACACACACACTCACCTGCGTGCTGGCCGTGGATGATGTTGAGTGTACCATCTGGTGCCCCAGCATCCTGGAGCATTTTGGCCAGGAGCATGGTGCATCCTGGGACGCGTTCAGAGGGCTTCATCAGGTAGGTGTTGCCACATACCATACCGATGGGGAACATCCACAAAGGAATCATGGCAGGGAAGTTAAAAGGGGCAATACCAGCACACACTCCGATGGGCAGACGGTAGGTGTAAGTGTCCATGTCCTTGGTGATGGAAGGTAAGGTCTCCCCCAGCATGAGAGATGTAATGCTGCAAGCATGCTCAACCACCTCTGGGGGTGAAGAGGACGAGGAAAGGATGAATTAAACCAATACCAAAAGTAAAGAGATATAAACATATAAGATACACAATAAACAAATGGATGCATCTCTTAACATTACAAAGAAAAAAGGAGTTATTTAAGATGATTTTACAAAATGAATAATGCTTTGTAACGCAGACATTAAAATCGTCCTCTTTCTGTTAATTGATTTCTTTTCCCTATGAGTAAACTCTAATAGAACTTGTGAAAACTTCGAGCACTATTGGTCTCAGTACTGTAGGAAATCATTACTACTGGCAGCACACCTGCAGATGTAGCCTGTCTTGCAACTGATAAGTTAAAAGTTAGCATGCCAGAATAATTCGGGCATCCCAAAAACTGGGAACTGTACCAAGTACAAAAAAATACTTTGTCTTGTAATAACCAAAATATATCTGCATGGCCCTTTCAGTTTCTCAACATGGCTCTTGTTGATGCAAGTCAGCCAAAGTGCATCTTAATGAGTGGGACTGCATAATTACCTTTATATAGCATACAACTAAAAGCAGAGCCTGTTTTACATAAAAACAAACTAGGTGGTCACACTCTAACATCAGGACTTAACAATGTGATGCTGCAGGAATATGGTTTCCTTAACCTTTGTTTTGTTATAATTGGACACTCTGAAAGCCTCTTGAAAAGCAGTTTAAGCCTCTATATGCCAACATGGCCAAAACAGAATCCTTGCGCCATTATTAATTTAAAAGTGACTTTCGCAGAGAGTGTCTGGTTACATGAAAATAATTGACACCCTGCAGCCACTTAGTTCACGCAGACAATGGCATAAAGGGTTGCTAAAGATATATAGACTTTTCATCAGAAGACACAGATACTATTGACAATACTTTGAACAAGGGAATTTGATCTCTGCTATATATTCACCAGCACTCTAATCTAATCGGGATATCAAAACCCAATGGCATACTGGGAAGGTTATGCTTTACTTACGGAGTCCTCTAAATACATCGCCCTCTGCATCAGCGAGAGTTTTGCCCTGCTCCAAGGTGATTATTTTAGCCAGTTCTTTCTGAAATGTAAGAGGAAAAACAGCTTAACTCAAGAGAAAAAAAAATGTCCTTGTTCTTCAAGTGGATACAGAAACATATTGGTGATAGATGGAAAGAGCCGTATGAGCAACAGACAAGATTTCCCTACAATGTTATCCTTGATGAGCTGCTGGTAGCGCAGGAAGATCTGCTGCCTGCTCAGGATGGAGGTCTCGGACCAGGAGTGGAAGGCTCTGGAGCAAGAGTCCACGGCCGCCAGCATCTCTTCCTGGGTAGCTTTGGGAACACGTCCCACCACCTCATTAGTGGCCTGAGGAGCGGGAGACAGTCCATACCAGACAAGTTGACTGAGAGCAGGGGAAGTCATTACTTGGTATTACTGCATGTGCATTAATTCATTAATATTAATAACCAAATGTTTTCTATCCTTTACAAGTTTGATATTTTATGTGATGTAAGTAGATGGCTGTTTTTGCGTGCTATAATCCTCCATTACTACTTTGCTAGAGGCTTATTTATACATGCTCTACAGCAGGCTGGACTTTTGGAAGATATAAAACATGACTGGTTATACAGGCTGGACTGATTTCTCTTACTTTACAAACTAAAATATTATAAACTGGCAAATTAAGACCTATTTTCCCCTCACCAGTGTTCATAAGTATAACAACTACAGAGTTGCACTGGTTATGCAGCCAGCTTATATTATACTAGAGGACTTGTTACTGCAGCCAATTCACAGGTTGGATATAGTTTAGTGATGAATACTTACGGGGTTGTGAACGTCGAGCCATTCAGACGTGTTGGACTCAACGAACTTGCCATCAATGAACAGCTTGGTGGTGGGCTAGAGGATCACAGAAGCATGTGATTAAATCTCTTCCTGCCTTGTTACATCACTACTAAGTTCATTAAGGACATCCATCCATTACAGCATATACAGTGACTTTCTAAAGCAAGTCTCTTTCCTTTCTATACACACACACACAGTTCTTATTGTTATTGGTTAATTTAACATTTTGAAGTGTGGGTTTTCTTGTGTGGACATTTCTAAACACTGTTGATGGTTCAGAGGCTTCAATGTTGCATTAGCAGTCCCCCAGTCCCATAATACACACTTATTCTAAGCAGCTTTTTTCAGTATATTGCATGTACGTAATAAAAATAAGTAAGCATAGATACTATCAAAATGCTTGATTTTTAAGTGTGCTGATGTACATTTTACCCGCCAATGTAATGAATAATAGAAATGTAATAGAGGCAGTTTGATTAACATCCAGCACCATATGTATTGTATCACTTCCTGCAAATCAGTATGTTGATTTCTTGCATACAAACTGTAAAAACAGTGATGTTTTTCACACATTTCAACATGGATTCGAGGGCTATAAAAATGTTTAAATACCCTTTTTTGGATTTATACTTCAAAAAGATCTAAATATAGTACCTTTGGCTTCATGTCACAAACAAGACCTCGCACACATTTCCAGTTAAAGGAATTTGTCACAACCATCAAAATGTGGACAACTTTTGTTGTGGAACCTAATTGATAATAATAGAGCAGTACAATCAGTTCATAATAGCTTATCCCAGTAAATACATACTGTAATAACAAAATACCATAATATGTTTGTCATTTTGACAAACTCCATGGGATTGATCATCTAGTAGAGCTGGCGTACCAAGGCTGAGTCCTTGCTGCAGCAGCCATGGGTTCGATGCTGACCTCTGGCACTTTGCTGCGTGTCATCCCCTCTCTCTTCCCCTCTTTTCTGTCCCTTTTCACTATCACTAACAATAGAAGGCAATAAAAGATCCAAAAAATACTTTAAAGAAAGAAACTGTCTCTCCATTACATGATTGCCCACTAGGAAAAGTTTATATTTCAGAAAAACTGTATAATTCCACACTTGGTACATATCGTGGTGATTTTAAGAACCAAATGTAAAGGATCATTTAAAAAATGTTTATGTTAAATATCATGCATCAGTTAATAATCAAAATGTGGCATATGGAAAGTATGGAGACTTCTCAAACTTTAAAGAGCCTGCGTTGAACACATAACATCCATCCATTCATTCATCCATTCATTCATTCATTCATTCATTGCTGATTATGAAAGCAGGTGAGTGGAAGCTCTTACCACTGAGGAGGAGGAGTAACAACGACTCAGCTGGAGGGGGACCTGCAAGAAATAAAGTCAACTTCAGTTCATATTCAACCCATTGTCCAAGGTCTAATGAATGAGAGCCAAGCCTGACTGCCCCATTGCTCGTCTGCCCTGTCCACGTGACGTAAATAACACCTACCCGACTTCAATTGCACATAAATATGAAATGCTCGCAGTCAGGAGGAGTGGGCTGTGTGCAGCGTGCATGTTAGGAAACCACTTTGCTAGCTAGCAGCGCAGGTTGATAGCTATTTTGAGTTGCATACGAGTCAAACAGAAAACAACTGCTCTGTAAAAAATGAGCATTTATTTGTTTTACCTTCTTGTTAAGAAGTGACCGGAGGAGAATTGCTGCCATTGTGGAGAGTCGAGTTACACTTTTCCTGCTCCGAAGCCCTTCAACCGACCCACAGGACACGGGAGTGTAAAGAGAACTTCAGCTAGCAGAAATGTTGCAGAGGACAGAGTGGCGGGATACAGCGCTGCGCTTTCACTCGATCTACAAGTCGTTAGCGGCTCGGATGGCGGTGAGTGGCGCCGGCGCACATCATTTGTTGATCTGGGAAAACTGAGCGAGACGGCATTCGCTGTTTCCGTTCAGTGTGGGCGGGACATACCCGATTTGAACGCCAATCACGGCGCGGCATTTACAAGCCACCCTAATTCGGAAGAAGCTGATTGGCTGTTCGTACAAACACAGACTGGCGTATTCCCTGTTACTTTATTGAGCCATTAAAATCCTTCTGCACTCAACTGTTGTGGTCTAGTTGCCTCGCAACGTCGGGAAGCCACTTTGTTTGAATATATATTTATGGCTGGACAACATGGGCTTTTATGTGCGAAGGCAACACTTATCACCTAGTGGCAGGTAACAGTTTCCATGGCAACATGCTCACAGGCAACATGGAGTTCCTACAGTGGAGTTGTCATGATGTTGCAAGGTGGATTGAGTCTTTAGGATTTCCACAATACAGAGTATGTTAACAGTCACCTGACTAAACAGAGATAACACTGACCCTCACTGAGTATGTGCCGAAGGTAGTATTTCACTTCTCAAAGCTCTGATCTCATTATTCATTTCTGTCGCAGGCATGTTTCACGGAGAACCACATCACCGGAAGAAAGCTCATTTATGTAAATTGTGTCTACTTGCCAAGACTCGGAGTCACAGATTTTAAAGACATGCAGGTACTCAGAGTTTTTAATTCTAGCCTCCGGAAGAGACTGGTGTTAATATGGAGACTTGTTTACATGTCAAAGATAGAGGCTCACACTGCTTTAACAGGCTATAACACCAAGATAATGATGGCACTGTCAGAACTAATATAATCTATATTATTCTTACCTCTTTGTCTGAATTGATTCAAATTTGGAGATGTGATCATTTAAGTAGTAACTTACCAAGTACAAATATAGTTGGACATCACATAAGCAAACTGTGGTATGGACATTTTTGCTTGATTTGACTCTTTAAAGGCAAAGTAAAAGAAAAAAACTAAAAATAAAGAGAAGCCTATAGTAGAAATAATTCTAAAGTGGACTGTAAACACTAGAAAACTGGTGTCTAGTTTGGGATAACTCAATTGCACATCCCATTTGGCACTTGAACGCTCTGTCTTTGAACAGTGTGACATCCAATTAAAGTTAGGTGTTGTAACCGAGCGTCACTGCCAGCAGACACCTCAGATCAGCTGTATCAAATATGTGCTGTTATCAGGTAAAGCGGCTGTTTTTTCTATTTCTCTCTGAGGTCAGAACCTAATTGGGTAAAAGCACCTGTATGTATTCAGGTCTGCTTAGAGGATCAAACCACATATCTTGAGATGGACAGACTCGGTACAGAATTTCCTGAGCTCTGTTTAGTCATAATTTATATTGGTTTAGCCTAAAAGTCCTTTGATGGATTTGTTTTTTGGAGTGTGTCCCTGGTACCTTTCTTCCCATGATGCTACAATCTTGGCGAGAAATGCTCGAAAGACTAGACACTCTCAAACGCAGTGGGTCTACCTTATTAAATAAAGGTTATATACTGTAAACATATACTTTATCAAAGGACTCAACCTTGCTGTGCGCCCCTGCAGGTCATCTCTGCACGTGTGCGCGAGCTGCTGGGGATCACAGAGACCCTGTGGAGTCGCAGCATCGCTGACCCTCCACGGGACAGCATGAGCCTGTTCCTGGAGAAAAAGGGCCGGACTGGAGAACGGGCAGACAGGCTCACCTTCCAGCAGTTCCTGGATAGCATGCGTCAGTGAGCAGGAGCCTGGCGTGAATCACAAAAAAATAATAATTCAACAAAAACCAAGACATGTCAGTGTCATTTCATATCACCAACTGTCAGCTCAGGATGACTCCAATGAGACACTCATAGTGGGTCACATGCAGGCCTTGACATTAACACATCCCACCAGCAAAATGCTTACATGTTTTTGTTGTGGCTGGTGAAGAATCGGCTATTCTACAGGGGTTTTATGTGCAAGAAGCCAACATGTGTTCAGTCTGAAAATCACCTCTGAAACGAATCTATTGGCTACTGGGTGATATCACAACAAAGACTGAGTGCAGGATTTTTTTAACACGTGTAATAGCATATCAGTGACTTTGTGCGCACACGTACAGTCTGATAAACAGCTTAAATTGCTCTTGCCATCCAAGTTCTGGATAAGTATTAAACCACTTAGGCTATTTCTATTGATCTCAAGTGGATGTGTTGTAGCTGGATGGAGGTATTGATCTGGAGTAGAAATCCTCAGGGTAATTCCGTGGATGACAATGAACACCTTTTTCAAAGTGCCCTGAGATCAGTATGTAGGTCATTGTTCTTGGGAATAAAAAACACTGAGTCTGCGAGAAGACTTCTGCGCCGCTGTACTGTATTAGACTTATAAACATATAGGCTACTTTGCCAACTTGCACAAAAGGCCATAGGATCATTGCATCAGATAGTGATGGGTGGAGTGCCAAGCAGACCCACTGGGAGCCAGGGTTTTCAGTTTCCACACTGAACACTTTGTTGCCAATAATCTATGTAATACATGCAGCAATATTCAGCTGTAGGCTACTATATTTGGCTTTAGATGTACCTGCACCAAAAGTTTTTTTCTAAAGGAATGGATGGATTTTAAATAACACTCTTATTTAGGCCTACACTGGTTATTACCTGACTTAATTATCATCACCTGCGCGCCTAAATCTGATCATCTCTGTCTGTTTGTTTTTTAATTTAATTTAATCTTTAGAGAATATTATAAGCCAAATGCATTTTCGTGCAGTGGAGTTCAATCTACATGAATAAATTATGATGCCTGCCTGTGAGATAGGCTGGGAGGCACACTGCATCTGTCTGTGCACACAAATGGTCTCTGTGCAGCTCGGAGCGCGCTGATTACCATTCCGAGCACAGCACCTCTGGTCAGAAATGGAGCCGGGTCGGTGGTTGACAGTAGTCCGGGGGCAGAAGGAGGGGAGGGCGGGGGGGGCATATTATGGCAGC